GACAAGCTGGTTCTGTAACCCTGCAGCTCGTGATCAGTGAGCGGTACCCTGCTGATGTGCCCTTTGTCACGTCGCCATTCCTGCACAGGGACCGACACGGAAAGCGTTCAGGTACCACCAGGCTGCGAGTTCACACGCATCTCTCCATCGTGCCGCGCTGCTCTGCGCTGTTTCCAGCAGGAAAGTTCCAGCACGCACGTAGAAGCGTCCCGCTCCGCACAGCGCCGGCCTCGCGACCGCCGCCTGCAGCGCGACGTCAAGGCGCCCGCGGAGCCGCTCGTCTCCAGCGAGTTCCCCAGCGCCATCGCCGGGCCGCGCCGCCCGCCCGGACGCCCCGCTCCCCCACCTGCCGGCGGCCGCCAGCCCGCGCTCGCCGCTCTCCAGGAAGGCCCGCACGGAGCGGAGCGGGGCCGGGGCGGCGCGGGCTCGGCCTCGCTGAGGTCCCCCACGTCCCCGCAGCCGGAGCCCCGGAAGCGGAGCGGGCGCACGACGACAGGCATCGCCGCGGGCAGCCGGGCGGAGCCGCGCGGTGAGGACGCGATGACCGAGCGCAAAGGACCCCGCCCGGACTGCCCGCCCCGTTCGGCGGACTGACCAATGGGAGAGGCGAGGGGGCGGGGCCGAGCGCGGGCGCCCCGCCAACGGCGGCTGCCGACGCGAGGCCGCCGCGACGGCGATGGGGCCGGCGGGATGGCGGAGCCGCGGGGCTCCGCGCGGAGAAAGCGGCGCTCCGCCGCCCCGTGCCTCGGGGACGCCGGGCGGTCAGGGGAAGGCACCGCCGCCGGCCCCGTCCGTCCCCCGTCGGAATCCAGCTGTTCTCGGAGGCGGAACCGAGCCGTCCTCCGTCGTTGCGGCGAGGCGCCGTCCCCGCTGAGTGACGTCATCAGCCCCGCGACCCGAGCAGGGGGCGGCCGTGCGGAGCAGCCGGGCCTCCGAGAGCCGCCTCGGCTTCTGCAGGCGGCTGTTCGGGGGGCACCGGGGCGGGGGCCGGGCTTCAGGTGCTGCAGGGGCCGCGTGCCGCTCTGCGTTGGCCTCGTGACGTCGCTGCGGTGCTCGGGGTTCCGCTCGGCGGGGGCGGCTGCCCTGCGTCTCCCCGCCTCCCCCACCCCGTGCGTTTCACTGCCCTCCTCCCCTCCCCCTGCCACGGATCGCCCGCAACCCCCCCCGTCCCTCTGTGTGACCCCCGGGGTTGCGCCTCCCTCCCCCTTCTTCCCCCTTCGTTTCCCCCGTTCTGATCCCTGTCGTTCTCTTCCGGCCCTCCCCTCTGCGCCTCCCCCATTCTGACCCCCAGGCTCCACCTATCTGTCCCCCCGCCCTCCCGCTCCCTCCCCTGTCCCCCGTTCTGATCTCTAATGTCCCTCCACCCCGTCACGAGTCTCCCCATTCTGTGCCCTAGAGTCCCCCCACTTTCCCAGTCCCCTCTATCTGACCCCCAGAATCCCCTCTCCTCCTCCCGGGTACCCCCGCTCCATTTCCCCCATTCTGATCCTTAGAGTCTGCCATCACCCCCCATTACCTTCTCTTTGACCCCCAGGGTCCCGTGTCCTCCTTGCTCCCCCCGCCTTCTGACCCCTTTTTCTGACCTCTGGAGTCCCCTGTGCTCCTCCCTGACCCCTGGAGTCAGTTCCCCCATTTTGACCTCCATTCCCCCCCAACCGGACTCCTTTTCTGCCCAATAGAAGCCCCCCACAACCCCTGGCTCTCTCCTCCCACCCCTTCCTCCCTCCAGCCCCAGATGCGCTTTCTGCCTTGCAGAGGCTCTGTTCACCCTTTTCCCTTCCACAACCCACTAAATTCCCCTCCAACTCTTTTTCAACCCCATAGGCACCCCACTCCCCTCTTCTCCCCCAGATACTCCCCTGAGGTCTACCCCAGACTCCCACCCCATAGAAGCCCCCCACAACCTCCTCACCACTCCTAGACCCCCTTTCCTCCCTGTAGAGACCCCACTCCTTTTTTTTTCCCCCTCACAATCCTCCATCCACTCCCAGACCTGCCCTTTCTGCCCTACAAAAACCCCTTTTCCCCCTTTCAACTCCTCAAGTTGCCCTCCACAATATTCCCCTCCACAATGTACCCCTCCACCCCCAGACCCTCCTTTCCACTCACAGAAGCCTTTCTCCTCTTTTCTCCCTCACAATCTCCTCCCCACCCCCAGGTCCCCTTTCCACATCACAGGGCTTCTAGCCCACCACAATCCCCCAGTTTCCCTCTTCCACCCTTTCTCCACCTCCAGACCCTCTTTCCAGCTCACAGAAGCCCCACTCACACCTTTCCCCCCGTAGATTCCCCACAACCCCCTCTCCACCCCCAGACTTTCTTTCCACCTCTAGAATCATAGAATCATAGAATCACCAAGGTTGGAAAAGACCTAAAAGATCACCCAGTGAGGAAGACTGTGAAGCAAAACAGACCTGGCTGGCCTGAAAGGGTCAAACAGGGAACACGCGGCCCCTCCTGAAAGGGAAGGACTGCCATGTGAAACTGGCAAGCATAAGCTACAGCTTCTTCGTTCCGTGACCAAGAGCAGAACGTGTTCTGTGGAGAGAACACCTTTTGATCTCTGCACTGACCATCATCCACAAAGAGCTGATTAAACAATGATGTATGACTGCCAGCTGCATGAATGCTATCTGATTTAGGTACTGTGTACTCGCATAGCAAAAAGATACAAAATGCCTGTAACAACAACACAGATTGCTACTTGCCACCAGAGCTGCAGCCCGCCTGTCATTCAGGCGTCCCGAGGAGCTGGTCTCCATCAGCAATCCCAACTCCAACAATCATCATTTCTTTTATCCACCTACAGTCACACATCCCCACAGGGCTCTGCTTTACCCTGACTGGGTCAGCTCTTGCTTTTAACTTCTGGTTAGGGCTGCATTTTTTCTCTGCCAGCTCTCCCTGATACCCACACTCCTAAGCATATCTGACTCAGGATTTCTGTAACGTCTGGGGCTACAGCCTTGTTTTCCACCGTTTGTGTTAAGGGCAGACTTACAATTCTCAATCACTTAATATTGTTTGATCCTTAGCTCCAGTTCTCTTTAGTTTCTTGCTAGAGTGACCTGACACGGACAAGAATTTAGGTATTCCTACTTGTTCTCTCAGCCCATATTTAGTCGATCCCAAAAGGAAGCCTTTTCTCACTGGGCATCAGCTCCTCCTGCTGCTACAAAACCACCTGTGGCCGTTAAGAGGCACCCGTATCCACCAAGAGATAAACCTCCTGATCCTGCTCCCCTCTCTTCAGTTCTGACATCACAGTCACACCCTGCTCATCTCCACCTTCCTCAGCCTGTGTCCTTTCCAAACCTTTCACTGTCACAACTCTCAGCGTTGCACAAACTACTGACATCATCCTTCGCTTTCTCCTCCTCGTCTCCGGAGGCTTCCAGTGCTGAGGCTGGCATTTCGGGGTTCCTACATCTCTGCAGAGCCGGTCTCACTTCCTCTCCGCCTCCCCCTGTGCAAGTGCTGCTCTCACAGCAGCAGCCTCCACCTGCAGCTCGCTCTCTCACCAAGTTCTGCTCGCAGAGGAACGCTGCAGGGGGTTGCTCTCATGCGCACATGAACTCACTTTCTCTTTCACCCTTTTTCCTTTGGACATTATTCCACTGTTCGGGCCCTCATTACACTTCCACATACCCTCATTCTATTTCTGCAGACCGTTAACAATTACCTTTCTGACACCATCACAACAGTTTGTCCCGTTCCTTTCACAAGCCACAAACCAAACCGTACAGTTCTTCAACTCCCACACACACCCAGCACTTGGTCTCTCATGATTATGGCACTCCATTATAAACCTGGTCCCATTACTCCATTGACGTTCCTGCTTTCTTACTTAATATTCCCCCCCCCGGCTCACCAGCACCGTTTCTCCAGTGAGCCAAAATACCACGCAGGGGCTCTTCTCCTATCCCTTCAGACACCCCTGTTCCACAACAGCCTCCTAGGGAACACTGTCACGACACAAACACCCAGCAACAACAGAGACGGTGACAACAACCAGCACAAAGCATCCTCGGGATCCTTCCTCTCTCTGCCTCCCTCCAGGGCCCAACCTTCCCTCTGTCTTCCACCATCGTCGCAATCTCAGCTCATTCCAACGCAGAAAACACGCACGCACCAACACATGACACAGAGCACAGCCATCTCTGCCCGCTGCCCTGTGGGAGAACGAAGCTGCGCATCAGGACTCTGCTCCCGCTCCGTAGCTCAGCTACGCCTCACTGCCCACACCCACACAGCACCCGCCTGGACAAAACACAACTTCCTTCGTCGTCCTGATTTCCTCGCAGGACATCCAATGTTCTGATGGCGTTCATTCAGACGGCACCGAGCATTTACAGCACAGCTAACAGCAACCACATCACCTGTAACTGCTGTTATCACAACCAGGAGGACAGAGATAAGCACTTCGCAGGATGCCCACTATACCCTGCCCCCTCAGGACAGCCCCACATCCCTGCCACTCGTATTTGTGCCCCACGTCTTTTCACCCCACATCCCTGCCCCGAACCCCAGCCCCAGATCCCAGGCCTACATCCCTGTCTGAAATCCCTGCCCCACGTCCCAGCCCAGCAACTTCTGCCCAACATCCCAGCCTCACATCTTTGTGCCCCACATCTGACCCCACAGCCCAGCAAGTCATCCCTGCCCCATGTCTCTGCCCCACAGCCCAGCCCCCATCTCTGCTCCAAAGCTCTGCACCGTAACAGCCCAACATCTCTACCCCTACGTCCACGTCTTCCTGCCCCATACCCTAGACCAACATCCCAGCCCTACTTCTCCTCCTCCTCAAATTGTTGTGCCTGACATTCCTTCCCCATAAAAGCCCCACATCCAAGCTCCAAATCCCAGCCCCACAGCTTGGTGCCCCATATCCAAGCCTTAAATCCCTGCCCCACATGATTGTGCCCCACATCTTTGAGCCCCACATTTTCATGCCCTTCATCCCTGCCCCATAAAAGCCCCAAATCCCAGCCCCACATCCGTACCCCACAAAAGCCCCACATCCCAGAAACCACTGAAATCTCTCGTCATCATTTGTAGCCTTCTCTGAGCAATTTCCTCACTGCTAAGCTGAACTACGAGTAAAGGAAAAGAACCAGTGGCCCTAACCAGCCTGGGGAGGTTCCTGGCTATGGCCCTGACCCAGGAAGGCAGCACACTTCCCAGTGCTTCGGGTCCAGTCTGCAGATGGGGCCCTGCATTCCTCCGAGAAGGGAGTCGCCCACCACGGCCACCCTTCCTTTCCTGGCAGCACCTTTGGCCTGCCTGGCTCGCCAAGCGCATCAACAACCAGATCCCAGATGTCAATCAGTAAGGATGCAGAGAGGGCAGGCTGCAAAGATGGTCGCATTAGAGAGGGAGAATCAGAAATGAACGGAGAGCTTACCTGTGACCTGGGCTCGCGGGAAAAGACTCCAAGAGGGGCGACGTCCAGAGAGAGATCCTTCCCCAGAGGCAGTCGGTCCTTCGGTGGGGCCCAGGAGAGGCGCAGCCAGGCTGCAGCCCTTCTGCTCACACAGCTGAGTTGCCTTCAATGCGCTCCCGAGGCTGACTCAGTGCTCGTCTCAGGGGACCCTGCAGGAGGAGCAGCCCCCAGGCCCTGGGCACATCTCTCACCTCCCTGCCACACGTCCTCAGGCTGCTCTCAAACCCTTATCTGCATGGCCTTCATCCCTCTCGCTATCCCACACCCAGTGTCTGCCATCCCTTACTTTTCTAACAACCTCCACATCCTTGCTTCTGTAAGCTATCTCTAACTACCCCTGTCCTCAGCCCCTGTCAAGTCCTTTTCTCACCTTTCACTTCCTACTGGGGGGCCCTCCTCTCATCCTTCAGACTAAAGGGCAGTGAGGACACTGGCAAGAAGGCAGAGCAGAAATGGAGTTTAGATGCAGCAATGAGGAGCAGTGAGGAGGCAGAAGAAAGAAGAACAGAAGTGGAGTGCAGATAGAGAAGAGTAGAGAGAACAGACACCAAAGCAGAAGTGTAGATGCAGAATAAAGAGCAGCGAGGAAACCAAAAAAGCAGCATCGTAACAGGAATGCAGATGCAGACGAAAGAAGCGAATTCACGGCAAAGAAAACAGCAGAAGAGTTTGGATGCAGAAGAAAGAAATGAATCACAGAACTGTAGGCGTTGGAAGGGACCTCTAGAGATCATTGAGACCAACCCCCTGCCAAAGCAGGTTCCCCACACCAGGTCGCACAGGTTTGAAGAGAAAAGGAATAAAGAACAGCAGAAGAGGAGCAGTAATGCAGAAAAAAGAGGAGTGAGGATGCAAGGAAAACAGCAGAACTGCAGATGCAAATGAAAGAGTGAGGATAAATGGAAGAAAGAGCAGCCAAAGTGGAGAGCGGACACAGAAAGAAGACGTGTGTGAACACAGGGAAGAAAGGAATGCAGGCAGAACCAAGAGGAGAGAGGGAAGAAAAAGTAGAAGAGGAAAGCAGATGTAGAAGGAAGAAGCAAGGAGATAGGGAAGAAAAAACAACAGAGGAGGAGAGCAGATGAAGAAAAAACAGGGAAAATAAAAGCAAGTAAGAACAGAAGAAGAGGAGTGCAAGTGCACAAGAAAGAGCAGCACGCATACAAAGAAGAAAGAACAGCAGATGTGGAGAGCATACGCAGAAGGAGGTGAGGACAGAGGAAAGAAGGAACAGCAGAAGAGTAAAGCTGATGAAGACGAGTGAGGATGCAGGGAAAATCCAGCAGAAGAGGAGTGCAGATGGAGAAATAGGAGCGAGGACACAGGAGGAGGAAGAGGAGAGGAGGACTGCAGATGCAGAAGCAAGAGTAGTGAGGACAGAACAGCAGTAGAGGAGCGCAGCTCAGAAGAAAGGGCAGTGAGTAGACAGGAAAGACAAGGTACAGGAAGGGAGTGCAGATGGAAGAAAGTGCAACAAGGACAGGGGAAAACCAAGAAAAGTGGAGGGCAGATGCAGAACAAAGCGGAGTGAGAACTGATAGAAGACAGAAAAGGAGGAGTGCAGATACAGAACAAAGCAGTGAGGAGACAAAGAAAGACGACCAAGAGAGGAGTTTAATTATGCAGAAGGAAGAGGAGTGAGGATACAGGGAAGAAAGAACAGCAGAAGAGGAGAGAAAATGCAGGGGAAAAGGAAGAAAGGACACAAGGAAGAAAGAGCAGAAGAAGAGTGTGGATACAAACAAAAGAGCAATGAGGATAGACAGAAGACTGAACAGCAGAAGAGATGCAGCAGAAAAAGGAACGACTAAACAGAGAAGAAAGAATAGCTGGATAGGTGTTCAGATACAAGTGAAAGAGCAGAGAGGATATGGGGAAGAAAGAATAGAAGAACTGGAGTACATATGCAAAAGAAAAGAAGAGAGAGGAAAGAAAGAGCAGAACAGTAAAGCTGACACAGCAGTGAGCAGTAAGGGGATGGGGAAGAACAACAGTAGGAGTGCAAGTGTACAAGGAAGAATATTGTGGATACAGAAGAATGAACAGCAGATGGGGAGTGCACATGCAAAGAGCGAGGAAGCAAGGAACAGAACAGCAGAAGCAGAAAGAGGAGCGAGGATACTGGGGAAAAACAGCAGAAGAGGAGGGATGCAGATAAAAGAGCAGCGAGGATACAGGGGAGAAAGAAAAGCAGGAGTGTAAAGCTGATGTAGACAACAAAGGAGTGAGGAGGCAGGGGAAAAACAGCAGGAGAGAAATGCGGGTGGAGAAGAAAGAGGAGCGAGGGCACAACAATAAACAGCAGAAGAGGAGTGAAGATGCAGGTGAAAGAGCAGGGAGGAGAAGCAGTAAGAAAGATCAGCAGTGGTGGGCAGATGCAGACAAAACGGGAGAGAGGATAGGATAAAGAAAGCCAAGCAGAAGGGGAGTGCAGGTGCAGAACAAAAGGCAAGTGAGGATACAAGGAGGAAAGGAGAGCAGAAGAGGACTGCAGCTGCAGGTGGATGAGAAGGGAGAAGACAGGGATGAAAGATGATGAGTGTGCTGCAGAAAAAGGAGAAGTGAGGTTACAGGGGAGAAAGGACAGCAGAAGAGAACAGACGCAGAAGAAAGAGGAGAGTGGAGAGAGAGAAGGAAGGAAGAGCAGAAATGGGGCTCAGATGCAGAAGAAAGAGGAAGGGGGGAAGAAAGGAAAGCAGAAAAAGAGTGCAGATGGAGAAGACAGGAGAGAAGACAGGGAAGAAGTAGGAGAAAATGATGACTGCAGATGCAGAGTAAAGAGCAGAGAGAAAGTGGAAAAGAAGCAGCAAAAGAAAGAGGACTGAGGATTCGGGGAAGGAAGAACTGCAGAAAGGGAGCGTGAATGCAGAAGAATCAAATGAGTGAGGATAAATAGAAGACAGAACAGGAGGAGTAGAGCAGCAAATGAAAGAGTGAGGATTAAAGGAGGAAAGAACAGCCTCCAGCAAAGGGGAGAGCAAACAGAGAAGGAAGATGCGTGAGGATACAGGGAAGGAAAGAACAGCAGAAGAGGAGAGCAGATGCAGAATACAAAGCAGTGAGGATACAGAGAAGAATGAACAGCACATGTGGAGTGCATATGCAGAAGAGGAGCGAGGAAACAAGGAAGAAAGAACAGCAGAAGAGGAGGGAGGATGCAAGGGAAAAAACAAACAGGAGAGTGAGAATGCAGAGGAAAGAGCAGGGAGAATACAAGGCAGAAGGATCAGCCTTAGGAGAGTGCAGATGCACAAGTGAGGATAGAGGGAAGAAAGGACAGCAGAAGAGTAGTGCAGATGCAAGTGACAGAGAGAAAAGGCAGGGGAAAAAAAGCAGCAGAAGAGTGCAAATGGAGAAAGAGAGAAAAGAGAAGAAAACAGGAGCAGAGTGCAGAGACAGATGCAGAAGAAAAAGGAATGATTATACAGGGAAGAAAGATTAGCAGGAAGAAAGAATAGCAGAAGAGGAGTTCAGATGCAGAAGAAAGAACAGGGAGGAAGCACAGAAAAATGAGTGGGAGAAGAGTGCAGATGCAGATGCAAAACAAGTGAGGAGACTGTAAAGAAGATCAGAAGACGTGGGGAGATGCAGAAGAATGGAGTGAGGACAGAATGAAACAAGAACAGCTGAAGGGGAGTGCAGCTACAGAAGAACGAGAAGTACGGAAAAAGGACAAAAGCACAACAGAAGAGCAGTGTTGATGCAGAGGAAAGAGGAGCGAGGAGGCAGGGAATGAAGAAGTGGAGAAGCAGAGGAAGAATGCAGAAGAAAGAGGAGAGAGGACAGAGAGAAACAACGAACGGCAGAAGAGGAGTGCAGGTGAAGGAAGAGTGAGAATATGGAGAAGAAAAAATAGCACAATAGGAGCCATGATGTGGAGAATTAATAGCCAGCTGAAGAGGAGCAAGGACAGAGGGAAGAATTACTCAAAGAGCAGAGGACAGCACAGAGAGAGAAGTGCAGAGCAGATGAGCCGCTGCTGCAGGAGGATGAAATAATGCAGAAACAGGGCAGAGGAGTGAGGAGGAGAAGAGGAAAAGAGCAGGAACAGGCAGGGGAGAACTGAGAGGAGGGAACAGAGGAGCAGGAAGTGCAGAAGGAGGAAGAGGAGAAATAACGGTGCAGAGAAAAGAAAGAAAAGGACAGGAAAAAAGAATAGGGAGGAAGGCAGCAGAGAGGAGAAGTTAGAAAAGACAGAAAAGAGAAGGGAGGGAAGGGATTGCAAAGGTAGAAAGGAGGAGAAATAGACAAGAGAGAAGTTCAACCCAAGAAGAACTAAAGATAGAAGAAGTGGGAAGTCACGTGCAGAGAGAAGAGGTGAGAGCAAATTCAGTCACTGACAGAAGAAGAAAAAGGAACGTTAGGAACTGTCAGTCTCTGTGAAAGCTGGATTCTTTGCAGGACATGCCGTGCTTGTTCTGCTTTTGCTTTTTTGCATTGCTTGCATTCTTGTAGACAATTGAACAACTCAGAACGGTCAGGAACATTCTCAGAACATGATTTGTGACGTCCCCTTAATCTCAGCTGCTCTGAAACACCCAACTGCTATCAAGCGAGAGTCACCTCCTTCCAGGCACCCTGCAAATGCAGCTTCAAGTGTCTCACTTTTAAACACTCACCTTCACGAAGGAACAAAGATGATCCCATACTGGGCTCAGAATCCTCCTCTGCCATCCAGCGCATCCATTTCCCAGCAGGACACCATCAGTGTGTTGTCAGCTGTGCCCATGCCCTCACAAAGCAAAACAGCCACGGACAGCTGCCTGCAGAGCCCTTGGAGCAATCCCCGACAGACACAGAGGCTGCAGGCGTCCGCAGTCCCTGACGTGCTGGGAGCTGATGTCTCTGGGCCCAGTGCACAGCAGCATTTCCTTCCATGCTTTCAGGCCTCCTGACAGCAAACCTCTGCTCCAAAGCGTCCTTTGGCCAAGGAATTTGTGCCACCAAGCACAGCGCTTTCTCACCTGACCGCATCCAGAAAGCATAAAATCAGGCAAACTGTGTCATCCTCCCAAGTGCTGCCGTTTCCACAGACTGCTGGCACTGCACAGCTAACAGCTGCCACTGACAACCAGGAGGGGCTTCTGTGGGGGCCAAGGCCAGAGGCGCGGCAGCTGCAAACAGAGGCAAGAGCAGACACAGCTTTAAGTTACCCGAGAAACACAAAGGACTCAACCCAGGAAATCTCCACAGAACTGCTGACCCCATTCTGAGCAACAGGGCGCACAAAACAGCAGAGCTCCTTCCCTGCAGGCAGCCAGCCCTTCCATGAGCCTCCCCCTTAGGGAGGGGGGAACCAGGCTGCACCCCTTGGTCATGCAACTGAACGGCTTCCACTGCTCTCCACAGCACAACAGGCTCGGTTGGAGATCAAAGCCTGTGATGTAAAAAAAAATACATAAAAGTTTTCCTGCTTCTTTCTCATCTGTGTCATCTGACTGCTGTTGGAACCCAGCGCACTTACAGGGCCTTGCAAATGACAGCTGGAAGCAGCTACATCCAGCACGCACAGCACCCTGCAAGCTCCAGGTGAGTGACAGCAGCCAAGGAGGCCTCTGGGCTCTGCAGGGTCCGAGTGTGGAGCATTGCACACAGGAACAGCTGAGCATCAAGTCGAAGGCACAGCTCCAGAACTAGCCAGCACAAAGAAGCACAGTGGCACAGCTCATTTCCCACACAGGAAGAGCCGTGACGAAAATGCACATCTGTTCAGCTTTCCTCTCCTGTCCCTGCCTTCTGCCCCATCAGACGGGAGGAACGGCCACGCTTCCACAGACAGGTTCCTCTCACAGCCCGCACCCCTCGGCGTGGAGCATTCCCGGCTGCAGGACAGAAACAGCAGCTCTGGCCACGCACCATCTGCCAACTGCCATCTTCCTCTGCACATCGCTCCTAGTCATTAGTTGAGCAAACACCATCCTGTTGGCAAACTTTGCTCCTTATGCACTCATTAGAAAACCAAAAGCAGCTCCATCCCAACACTTATCCACTTCCAGAGTGCTAGGACTCCCATCTCGCACGCACGCTGCGGTTTTCAGCCTAGGCTTGTAGAAACAAAGCCAGAAAATTCCACTCCGCTCAGTACAAAGCTCTGCAATGATGAGAGTCACTCAAGCTCCGCCCCAAAGGGTGAAAAGTAGCATCAAAATATCTGAAGAAAGGGGGGACGATGAAGGAAGGCAGCACTGCAGAGAAGTCAGGAGAACAGCTCTGCCTTCCGGGATCAGGCGGCCAGCGGAGCCTCTCTTCCCCCAGCAGAGACGCCTGCAGGCTGAGGGGCACACGCTCACTTTGCTCAGTGCTGCCCCGAGAAAGTCAGACGGCTCTATGGAGCTGCTCTCTAACTGCTCAGACAGTGCGTCTGTGGGCAGGGCCCAGGATTGGTGCGTCCATTGCTTCTGTACCCTGCAGCATTCCCTGATGGAGCTGTGGGAGCTCTGACCCAGCGCCGCCAGAGGAACAACGAGGAGGTGGAGCAATAACCAGGAGGTGGAGCAGCAGCTCACTGGGTGCCGCTGGACAAATCAGGCCATGCGCTCCTTGTGAATGCAAAACTCCAATTGTTTATTGATGGATTGAACCCAGAGCGCCAAGTTGGGCTGCTGCCACAAAGCCGCTGCCTGCTGATGCTCCTCCGCTCAGTCCTTCAGCTGCAGCTTCTCCATCATCTCCACAAGGCTGTTCATGGTGGAGAACTGGAAAGAAACAAGGCAAGTGTCAAAGCAGCACACCGCTTCCCCCAGTATTCCACAACCCCCTTCATGTCTGACAGACAGAGAACAAGAGCCGTGTCTGTGCTCGCCAAGGACTCACCTCTGCATGTGCAGCAGCAGCTCTGAGAGCAGCCTTCTTCATTTCTGCTCTCCTTTCTTTCTGTCGTCGTCGTCTTTCTAGAGAGCAAGAGAAGAGAAATTCAGTTTGTCAATAGCAAAACCACGGAAACACGGGTACCACGACAACAGCCTGGGAAATCTCTCAGGAACGGGTATTTGCAGTGGGACGAGCAGAGGGCCATCGTGGGCTTCATGGGAAAAGATAGGATGACACATTCTGGCACATCCTTTGGACTTGGTAGCCTTCTCCTCTTTTCCCCTCCCTGCAGAAGGGAAGAAAAAGCAAAGCAAACCCCAAGCAAACTCCACGTGCTTGACAAGGGAAGCACCTCAGCAGGGCAGCTGCAGCATCTTCTTACCTCTTCGCTTTGAGGTCCGGAACCTCTCGGTCGGCACTGGGGCAGGCCCAGGCTGTGCTGATGGAGCTGGCACAGCACCTCTGCTCTGATGAGGGCTCTGAGCCTTCTCCCCATTGTGCTCCACTTTCACTTGTTTGTTGGCAGGACCCAGCTCTGCCTCCTGCTCCTCCTCTTCCACTCCCTTGCGCTTTCTTGCGACCACGATCTTGGAGGAGGAGCAGTTGGCAACTGCAGGAGCAGCTGTTCCCCCTCTGCTGGGACCTGCTGCTTCAGGAAGCCCTCCAGCCTGGAGAGGAGTTTGCACGTAGCTTTCGCCATTTGGCTCAGCACCTCTCCCTGTTAGAAACAAGAAAGGGGAAGCAGCAACATGTAATGAGTCCAGCACTCCCTTCAGTCTGCAAAACAGGCCACGATACTAGGAAATCTCATCTCCAGTGTTCACAGCAATGCACCTTAGGATCTTGGGTGAACTGTGGGCTTGCACTGTCAATTGGGACAGGAAAGGTAATTGGAATCCCCAGGGATTAAGACCTCAAGCAACATGCAATGACAACAGTCCCAGGAAAGGGCAGACAGAAAGCCTAACTAGAAAGACAGGGCACCAAACCCAGATGCCTGCTGCGTGTCCTACCTCTCTTGGGTGCTGGGCCACTCTCCTTGCTCCTCCCCTGCCTCCCTGCAAGCCTGTTGTCATCAGCTCCTGACAGAAAGGAAACGAGACAGACATGAAGAGCATCTCTGTGGAGGAACATTTTAGCACAGCCAACCACAAACTTCTGCTCCTCAAGCGTCGTTTCTTCAATCTGCCCTTCTGCTGCTACAATGGTCCGCCATTTCTGCAGTCAGCAGACATCTGCAGGGCCCTTTCCCCTCTCCTCCATCACACGCCCCTTCACGCAGCCCTGTTTACAGGCAGTACCCACAGCACAGCTCACAAGAGCTTCTTACCTGGGGAGGCTTTCCGTTTCCCCCCATGCCCAGCACCATTCCATGGACGCGCAGGCTCCGTCCCTACAACAACAGATGGAGTGTTGGTTTCCCAGGAGCAGCGCTGTCCTGTTAGCCCACATCCACCCCCAAAACCAAAAGACACTGTTCTACAGCCAGAACAGAAGCTGATGGTTAAACTGCAGTGCGCTTACACAAAGCATTACTGCTCTCACTCCTGCTCAGGTGGCAGCAGAGGAACCCAGGGCTGCCTGACAGCTCTGCATTCTGCAGAGCAAAGCTGCTTCAGCAAACAAAACGCTACAAAACGCTGCACAAGTTGAGACATGGATTTTTTGGTCTCTACAGGGAATTCATTCAGCTCTGAGCGCCACCACTTACACACAGACTTCTGTCTTACTGCTGCCATCAGCTGTCACTGTCAGCCTCCCCAATGCTTCCACAATGGCTACTGGACATCCCTACAGCACTGCACCAACTCACAAGTAACACTCATTCCTCCATCCTTCATGACAGAGGACTGAAGAGACTCACTTGTGCATGGTGCTAAGGATGCTCCGTCCCCATCGCGTCCCTCTGCGCGCTGCAAGGCCCAGCTGGCACTGGGGCAGCCTGCTGGCTGCTGCTCCCTAGCATGGGGAACAGCACGGCGCTGCTTCTGAGGAGAGAAAAAAGGAGGGCCATGGATACAGGCACCGACGTTTGCAAAGAGATGCAGTGTTCCAGATCGTGCCAGAGAGCGCTGAGTTCTCACTGAAGGAAACATTGGGAGCGCATTCACAACATCTGCACAAGCTGCAATTGCTGGGCATATCCAGCTTTCTTATCGCTCAGGTGCAGCAGACAGGCGCTCTCAGACAGCACTGCAGGGCTTGCACCAACACACCTGCAAACACCAGCATTCTTCCAAGGGAAACAGGGTCTTCAGGTGCCACAGTTCAACCCGTGCAAAATTACCGTGCGCAGCCTTAGCTCTGCACCATCCTTCCTTCCCCACCCTGTCCTGCTGCAGGCAGCTAGAACAAACTTCTCAGCAGAAACCAGAGCAAACGTGGCAAACCATAACCAGGTACAGATGGCAGGAGGGCAGCGCCCGCTCTCGGCTCCCACCCTGCCCCACCAGGTGAAGGAGCCTGGCCATGCTGTCCTTGTGCTGCACCGCACAAGCCCACTGGTTACTGAGCTCCCTAAGGACCAGCAGGGCTCCCCCTGCTCCACCCCTTCCCCTCCAAAACCAGAGAAAGGAAGAAAACCCAAGTTAGAGAAACCCAGCCATACCTTTCCACGCGCAAAGCAGGAATGGGAACCGCGTCTGTGTCCCTGCTGGGACATGTGGGGAACGTCTCAGAGGAAGCTCACGTTCCTGGGGTCCTCTCCACAGGGACTGACCCCCCGCTGGTGGAAAGAGCTGGCTTCACTCTTCAACTGCCTCAGTCCCCAACACCTCCTTTTGTAAACCAACCCTGAAGAAAGAACCTGCAAGTGAAGAATAGGAAAAAGCATTTTCCCAGCTTTCCTCTGCTATGCAGTTTAAGCTATCGGGCAGGGCAATACTCCAAACCAACTACTAATGAGAACTGTCTCCCAAATACACCCAGCTCCCGTGCAGCTGCCATGAGTTCTGACAGCAAGCGTTCTTCTCCATCTCCTCCATAGTTTTGCACCTTGAAGCACACGGCTGGTGTTGCTGTCGTGAAGAAAACTCCTTTTGTCTCACCGCCAGCCTGGACAAGGGCTGACGCAGCTGCCCACCCCAGCCCAGCTTTCCTGCTGAGACACCCAGCACCAACCCCAGCTCACCTGGCCACTGCTCAGCCGGAGCTGTGCCCAGCTCTCACACACGCCGCAGCGCTGCTTCCAGTGGGCTCTCACAGGAAGATCTCTCAATGAAAGCACAGAGCTCGGTCTCAGTGTGCACCACGCTCACTAGAGCACCAGCTCTGCTCCCAGCTGGGGCACAAACGCTCCCAGCCCGGCAGCCACTGTGACCTCAGCGAGTGCCTGCATCACCGCTGTGCTTGCATCATAGACAAAGGAGTGGTCACCTCCCAGACCCAAAGTTTAGGGAACCTTGAAGTATTTTACTGACTTGGAAGTATTTCACTTTACTTACTTCAGAAATTGCACACAGAGATGGCATGTTTTGCTATTCTGTTACACAAAGCAGAAGGGCAAAATGGGAGATACGTGCAGCAGCATCAACACCCCAGTTGCTAAAGGAATAGAAAGACAAATATCAAAAGTCAATACGTGATTCTGATACAAGGAGGGAAGCTAATCTTCAGATCACTTGTTATCATTTAAAACAGGCACTCACAGTGGGAAAATCGTAGGCCTCAAATTCTGACATAAAATAAAGCCACAGCCCTGCCATGAAGGCTGCCTCATCAGCACCCATTACCACAGCAGCACCTGGCAACTCACGCAAAATGAGCCGTGCACAGAAGACTGCTGCATTTCTTCTTCTCCTGCCCCAGAAATTTGTTTTCCTACCCTAAAAAGGAAAGGACAAAAAACCAGGCAGGGCGCAGGCAGGGCGCAGCGCGTGCTGAACCTGCAGAACATTTGACCCTTCCACCGTTCCTCCGAGAGCAATCCAAGCCTTCCATCTCCACTCCTGCTTTCACCACTGTTCTTACCAAAGCCCTTTGATCAGCTGGGGCTCCTCCCTGTCCTCAGCAATAGCACTCACAGCACACAGATGCATCTCAGCTCCATTTCTTTTCCGCATCCACCCTGTGGGGACCGTGGGTTTCCCACACAGAATCACAGAATCACCTGGGTTGGAAGGGACCTCAAGGATCACGTAGTTCCAACCCCCTGCCCAGCAGGGCCACCAAACACACACAGTCACATCAGGTTGCCCAGGACCCCGTCCAACCTGGCCTTGAACACGGCCAAGGACGGGGCATCCACAACCTCCCTGGGCAGCCCGTTCCAGGCCCTAACCGCTCTCCTTGTGAAGAACTTCCCCCTAACATCCAACCTCAATCTTCCCTCCCTCAACTTGGATCCGTTTCCCCTCGTCCTGCTGTTGTCAGCCCTTCTGAAGAGTTGACTCCCCTCCTGGCTGTAGGTTCCCTTCAGGTATTGATAGGCTGCCATGAGGTCACCCCGCAGCTTCTCTTCTCCAGGCTGAACGAGCCCAACTCCCTCAGCCTGTCCTCATAGGGGAGGTGCTCCAGCCCCCTGCTCATCTCAGTCGCCCTCCTCTGGACCCTTTCCAAAATCTCAATGTCTTTCTTGTCCTGAGGGCTCCACACCTGGACACAGGACTCCAGATGGGGCCTCACAAGAGCCGAGTAGAGAGGGACGATCACCTCCCTGTCCCTGCTGACCACCCCTCTCCTGATGGAGCCCGGGATCCCATTTGCCTTTCGAGCTGCCAGAGCGCACTGCTGCCTCATGTTCAGTCTCTCGTCCATCAGGACCCCCAGGTCCTTCTCTGCCGAGCTGCTCTCAAGGCCCACTCCTCCCAGCCTGTACGGGTGCCTGGGGTTCTTCCGGCCCCAATGCAAACCTCATTGAACCTCATCAGGTTCACCCGAGCCCAGCCCTCCAGCCTGTCGAGGTCCCTCTGAATGGCATCCCTTCCTTCCACCGTATCAACCGCACCACTCAGCTTGGTGTCGTCAGCAAACTTGCTGAGGGTGCACTCAATTCCTTCATCGATGTCATTAATAAAGATGTTAAAGAGCACCGGTCCCAAGACAGACCCTTGGGGGACACCACTTGTTACCGGCCTCCACCTGGACACAGAGCCATTGACCACCACCCTCTGTCTGCGCCCTTTCAACCAATCGCTCATCCATCGGGTCGTCCACCCATCAAATCCACTTCCCTCCAATTTGGAGATGAGGATGTGGTGGGGGACCATGTCAAAGGCCTCGCTCAGGTCCAGGTAAATGACATCGGTCGCCTTCCCTTCATCCACCAATGCCGTCACTCCATCATAGGAGGCCACAAGATGAGTCAGGCATGACCTTCCCTTGGTGAAGCCGTGCTGGCTGTCTCGGATCACAGCTCATTCTTTATGTGATCCAGCATGTTGTCCAGGAGGATCTGTTCCATCATCTTCCCAGGCACGGAGGTGAGACTCACCGGCCTGTAGTTCCCCGGGTCCTCCCTGCTCCCCTTCTTGTATATGGGAGTGACGTGACCCTTCCTCCAGTCATCCGGGACCTCACCTGACAGCCACGACTTCTCAAATATGATGGAGAGCGGCTCGGCAACCACCTCAGCCAGCTCCTTCAGGACCCTGGGATGCAGCCATCTGGCCCCATAGACTTGTATTCATTCAGTCTAAGGAGGCACTGTCGGACTTGCTCTGCCCTTACAGTGGGGAGGGATTTACCTCCTTGGTCCCCACATAGAGGTTTGGGGATGCAGGGTTCATGGACGTGAAGAAGACTGGAATCCTGGCCACCAGTGAAGACCGAGGTGAAGAACTCATTCAGCACCTCAGCTTTCTCTTCATCTGTTGAAGCCAGTTCTCCTTTTGAATTTACCAAAGTAGGTACGCCCGTTTTGGCCTGTCTCTTCTGGCCAATGTACCTGTAGAAGGTTTTCTTATTGTTTTTCACGTCCCTTGCCAAGTTCAGTTCTGCCTGTGCCTTGGCTTCCCTGATCCCACGTCTGCAAGTCCGGACGGCGTTCCTGTACTCTTCCCAGGTGACACCGCCTTGTTTCCAGAGCTTGTTAAAGTACAAAGGCAAAAGTTTCTCTGGTGGCAGAAGTTTAACTGCAGTGCCATCTGCTGAGACTGACATCTCGAGGGAAGCAGCATCAATGCTTTCTCAGCTGTACCCATGAACACCACACAGCTGTGATCTACCTGTCCACGATCTGTAACGGCAGAAGTAGAACGTTTATAGCTAACGACACCAGAAAAGAAATGCTTGGCACTGCAGCTGAGCAGCCTTTCAAGGGACAGCTGAAAAGCCACCAGCTTTAGAGGACAGTGATGTTCTAGAACCAGTTGAAATGCGCTGCTTATTGCACTTGACAGAAGAGGAAGTGCTGTATCCTTATGTGCAATAAAGATCTTGGCTACAGCTGTAGCACCAGATTGAAACAATTACTGTCACCTCTGTTCTCCTTTATCTCACAGAATCACAGAATTGTAGGGGTTGGAAGGGACCTCAGAGCTCATCGAGTCCAACCCCCTGCCAAAGCAGTTCCTACAGCAGGTCGCACAGGTCGGCATCCAGGCAGGTCTGGAACATCTCCAGAGCAGGAGACTCCCCCACCTCCCTGGCAGCCTGTTCCAGTGCTCCTCACCTCACTGTACAGAAGTTCTTGTGCATGTTTGTGCACAACTTCCTATGCTGCAGTTTCCAGCCGTTTCCCCTCGTCCTGTCTCCACTCACCACTGAAAACAGTCTGGCCTCGCCATTCTGCCCCCCACACCTCAGATACTGATAGACCTGGATCAGGTCCCCTCTCAGTCTCCTTTTCTCCAGGCTGAACAGACCCAGCTCACTCAGCCTTTCCTCATAGCAGAGATGCTCCAGGCCCTTCACCATCTTGGTGGCCCTCCGCTGGACTCTTTCCAAGAGATCCCTGTCTGTTTTGTACTGGGGAGCCCAGAACTGGACGCAGTGCTCCAGATGAGGCCTCACCAGGGCAGAGCAGAGGGGGAGGATCACCTCCCTCGACCTGCTGGCCACGCTCTTTTTAATGCACCCCAGGATGCCATTGGCCTTTTTGGCCACAAGGGCACACTGCTGGCTCATGGCAACCTGTCATCCACCAGGACACCCAGGTCCCTCTCCGCAGAGCTCCCCTCCAGCAGCTCATCCCCCAACCTGTACTGGTGCATGCAATTATTCCTCCCCAGATGCAAGACTCTACACTTGCTTTTGTTAAACCTCATCTGGTTTTTTTCTGCCCAGCTCTCCAGCCTGTCCAGCTCTCGCTGAATGGCAGCACGGCCTTCAGTCAATCCTCCCAACTTCGTATCATCACAAACTTGCTGAGGGTGGCCATTATCCCCTCATCAAGGTCACTGATGAAGATGTTGAACAAGACCGGACCCAGCACAGACCCCTGAGGAACAGCGCTGCTTACAGGCCTCCAACCGGACTCTGCACCAACAACGACCCTCTGTGCTCTGCCAGTCAGCCAGTTCTCAACCCACCTCACTGTCCACTCATCCATCCCACACTTCCTCAGCTTTGCTATAAGGATGTCGTGGGGGATCTCTGACTGACTGGCATCTCTCTGATTAAAATACATTGTATTAAAATGGCCACTTAAATGACCACATGAAAGGAATAACAGCAAGGTTCGTTTTGTTTCAGTGCATTTGGCTGTACAAGGAGGTATCACCCAGGTGAAACTCCCTTCACTAGGAAAGCATCACGGACACAATGGTATCATGGAACTGCTGGGCTCTGTCCAGGTACACGCCTGGAACAAAATAACAATGAAAGAAAACTAAAAGGAAAACGAAAAGGTCAAAAGTAATCGTAGAATCATAACAGAAAGAGTCAGTAAAACCCAGAGCTCACCTCATGTCTCTGTTGTAAGCACACCCACCGTTGGCAGAAACCTCACAGCATGAAGGGACTTGTAAAGAAGAGCGCTGGTTTGGATTCGCTCTTTGCACAGCGGCTGGAAGAACTGTGCACATCTCCATTACTTCTCATGCCTGTGAAAGTCGTCGTCTCGACATCGTTGCTGCCACTGCTGGTTCTGTATTGAACATGAGAACACGTGAAACCCCCATTGACTCGGTGCCCCTAAGGATTAAATGTGAAATGGCAAATGGTTCAGTCGTGTATCACAATGGAATCTGTACAGAGGATACTACACCCTAGCCCACAACCCTAACTTTAACCCAAACCCTGCCCTAAACATAACCCTAACCCTGACTCTAAACCTTACTCTAAGCCTAGCCACAACATTAATCCTAAACCTAATTCCAAACCCTAACCCTAAGCTCAACCCTAAATCTTACCATAAGTTTAACCCTCAACCAAACCCAATCCCTAACCCTAACACTACCCAAAATTAACCCCAAACTCTAACCCCAACCCTAACTCTAATGCAAACCTGAAACCTTGCTCTAAACCTTTCTGCAAATACTAACCCTCACACTAATATTAACCCAACCTGAACATCAACCCTAACCCTGACCCAGTCCCTAACCCAAAACAAACACTAACCCTAATCCTAACCTTAATCCTAACCCCAGCTGTATCCTAACCCTAAATGTAAACCTAGCACTGAACCTAACCCTAACCCTTACCCTCAAACTTAACCGAACCCTAACCCTACCCTAGCCCAAACCCTAACCCCAAGCATAACCCTAAAACTCAACACTAACACCAAACTCTAACACTAACCCTAACCTAAGCTTTCACTGCCCCAAACCTAAAACTAACTCTAACCCTAACCAAGTCCAGCAAGCCCCCTTCTTCTCCATTTGTGGCCCAGCAAGCCCCCTTTCTTCTAGTTCAGGACCCAGCAAGCACCTTCTTGTTGCTTTGTGGCGCAGCACACCCACTTCTTTCTGGGTATGGACCAGCAAGCCCCTTCCTTCTGGGTTTGAGTCCAGCAAGCCCCCTTCCTTCTGGTTTGTTGCCCAGCACTCCCCCTTTCTTCTGGGTATGGTCTTACAAGCCCTCTTCCTTCTGGGCTCAGGAGCAGCAAAACCCTTCTCTATTCATTCCAGCCCAGCAAGGACCTTTCCTTCCGGCTTTGGGCCCAGCAATCCTCATTCCTTCTGGCGTTTGACCTTTCCAGCCTCTCTTCTTCACTGTTTCAGTAGAGCAAGTCCACTTCTTTCTGGCTTTGAGCTGAGCAAGCCCTCTGCCATCGGGGTTTCTTCCTGGTGAGCCCCCTTCCTTCTCAGCTTCTGCACAGCAAGAATCTCCCTGACGGATTTGCTGCCCAGCAGGCTGCTTTCCTGCTCCATTCTGCCCCAGGAAGCCCCGTTCCTTCTGGCTGTCTGCCCAGCCCGCCACGTTCCTTCTGTGTTTTAGTCCAGCCAGTCCCTTCGTTCTGGTTTCTGGCCCAGGACAACCCCTTTCTTCTGGGTATGGAGCAGCAAGCCCCCTTTCTTCTGGCTTTGGGCACAGGAAGGCCCACGTGTACAAAGGGACTGTAAAAAGCCCAAGCAAGCAGATAAAAATGCTTGTGCTGTTCCCACTGGACCTCGTGCCCGGTGCAGGAGGGAGCCACACCGGGCGAGAGAGCGCGGATCTCAACACCCTGTTGCTGCAAGGCCCTGTGATCTGCTGGGAAACGGGAAGAAGAGCGCGATACCACACACCGTGACAGCAAATGTGGGCCTGAACTGGTTGGCCACTGCCTGGCCAGCTCACTCAGATCAGCCACCAGCAGCAGCGCAGGAGTGCATTTGCAGCAGATGATCAGGATCGTTCACAGCTGAGCATCAGACACAGCACAGCACGGCGTACGCTACCAAGAACTTGAACAAACAGGATGTGTGAAGGGCCCAGGACTGCCACAGAGCCCAGGGAGGCTGATGGCTGCACCCTGCCAGCGAGGGGTGGACGGAACCTCGCGAGGCAGAGCTGCGCAGCCTCAAGTTAGGGATTGTTCCCAGCTCTCTGAGCAGCAGGGCTGTGCCTGTGGGCAGCGGCACGTGGAAAAGCAAAACTAATCGAGACAAAACAAACACACTTGAACTGAATGACAGCTTCAAGGAATCGCTGTTGACTACGAGCAACTGAACCCATGGCACAGCCCAAAATCCCAACAGTGTTACAAAAGAAGGCAGGCTGCCTGGCTGCTTTTCCACCCCGCTCAAGCCTTCACACAACGGAGGGGATACAGGTTTTAAGAACGGACCTTTATTCATGACACTGGAAAGATGTTTGAAAGCATCTGGTTTTCCATAAGGAGGAAAGGAAATCTGGCTTGCTACGATGCATTGATATAAAAATTGTGCCTCTAATACGAAAAAAAGGTTTGCATACTTGAGAGCACAGTACCATCAAGAATTCCTAACAGTATTTTTGACAGAACAGGGAGAACAAGCTCTCATGGACAGAACTTAATAGTACAAAACAATCACAAGCATCCTACAGTGAATTCTGACCATTTGTGAGCGCAGTTCCAGAAAAGGACACTCTTGAATTGTCGTTCACACAGCGTTGGCTTCTACTCTGCTAGGTCTTAATCAAGCCTTGAAAGGGCTCCATACTCAAAGCACAACAGACCTGAGTTTGGGTGGCCTTGACCCTACTGCGAGAAAACTCCTGCAGTCAAAGTACAGTAGGATACAGAGATGCACAGAGATGCAGCAGGAGAATGCACCTGCTAAACAGCAAATCCAACACGCACACCAATTTCTGATCTACCACAGAGTGCTGTCCTGGGAGGCACTGAAAAATGACAAAACTACCATTTCTGTTCTCTGCTGCACAGCCATGCCAAACACGCACGCTGTTCTCTGCACACACGCTGCAGCCAAGGCCCCTGAGCAGAGCAAACGCTGCCTACAACACGTCGGGAGCTCCGCTTCCTGCTGCTGCCAAAGGCTGAAAGCTGGCTCTAAGAGCCCACAAATCAAACAGCTGTCAAAGAGGAGCCATCAGGCAGATAACAGCACGAACAAAATGAAGTCTCACACGCAGGCTGTGGCGTTCCCATGAAGTCACAGCTCCCCAAGAATCAAACGTGATCCTCTCTAGAAGTGTCGGGAAAGCTTGAGGCGTCGCTGCTGACAGCAGCCCTGCTGATTTTGGCTACTCTCACTACAGTCAAAAACTGGAAAAGCCCACTTTCAGGCAGGATCCATGCGGTGCTGCAGCCCAGGTGGGCTTTTTCTCTCCGTGAAAAGCCTTCACGTTAAGCTTACCTGACATAGGAAGTCACTAACTATCCTGTGAAACGTGGTACTCCTGAATCCACGAGCCTTTCTCCCCTGTGCACAGGGCCCTGAGCTTTTCAGCCGTCCGAGGGACAATGTGTGAAAGCAGCTCCGTGGCTGTGTGTCCTGAAGGTTCATCGCTGGCAGAAACGTCCAAATACACAACAACAGGGCCGGTGTCCTTTGACAGCTCCGCTGCCACAGAGAGCTGGCCCTTCTGCAGCTCTGACAAGCTCTGCTGGCATTCTTCAATCTGCTCTCGAAAGAATCAGCCAGTTCTTGAACTTCTAATCTGACCGCAACTCGCTCTACTTCCACTTCACCGTCTGAAAACAAACCCAAGAAGAGATTTCCTTAGCTCTACTCACTGCAGCCAGAGATCAGCAGCTTTTGTTCTGTAGGATCTCCAGGGTAAAACAAAGCCAAACTGCAGGAGAGACCGGAAGGAACTGTAAAAACCACCCAACCGACTCACCAGCATCACCTGTAGCTGTCCAAATTCAAGCAGTTTGATGTCTCAGAGGGCAATGAGTTCATTTCTGTGGCGATGACATGCTTTGCACACACCTCAGCAACTCGGCCCCTTCTCACGAGGCTCCTGGAATACTTCTGCTGTGTCCGGAAGAGGAGCTTCAGCTCTCCAAGAGCTCCTTCCGCTGAGCGGCATCTCTGGCCCAGCTGTAAAGTTCTGCCCTCTCTTTGAAGACAATTCCTTCACATTCTTCTCCAGACTTTACCTCCACCTAAAACACAGCACAGTAATGCGTGATTTCCCCAGAAGCTGTTGTCACCTACAGCACTGTTACAATTCTGACATCAGATAATGCAAAATTATTCAGCGTTTTCCTTTCTTCAGTGGCTTTGTACCCTCAGCTCGACGCTCATCATGCACTGAAGTGAATGAAAAGCCCTGCCTTCTCCAAATGGAAGAGCCCAACAAGTTCCAGCGTTTGAAATTCATTTTAGCAATGCAACACTGCCTGCACCACGCTGCATAGCAAGTTGTTTGATTCTTAAGCTATCCAGTGTGCTGGCCACAATTCCCCAGCGAAATTTCAGGCCTGCTGAATGATGTGCTAAGTGATAACGCAGCACTGTTAGCATCCCAGGTGCTCTCCTCTTAAAGACCGTGAAATAACTTCATGCTGGCATCTGACAGAACAAGAATCAACTGAAAATAATAAACGGAGGCCTCACAGCTGCATGTCCTCCACGCTTTCTACGTGCGCATTACTGGCTTTTAACATTCTTCAATTGACACATCTTCCAAAGCTACAGAAAAACTTGGAAGAACTGCAGAAACGCGTGACAGACAAGCATTTCTGGTGGGAGAAGTGACACCGAAGGAGAAAAAGAGCAGGTAAGGCGAGAAGAACCCCACAGAAGTCATACTGTGATGAAGAGATGAGGAAAGGCAGACAGATATTGAAGAAAGAGGAAGACGACATTCTGCAGACTTCACCAGATCAGCTGTTCCAATTAAAGGACACCACCTACTGTTTATTGGTGCTCTGAATCATTACACTAACCTGCAATTAAGGTCTGTTCTTTACAGGAGGCCAAACTAGAAGATTACAGTCATTGCAAGCTTCTCATCCTATTAGGCACGCTAGGGTCAAACACGAAATCCAGACACGAACAACTGTGTTAAGCCTTACAAAGCTACGCAAGGCTACTTCCAGTTAAACTCATCTCTACTTGAGCTTGCAGTTCTTCTCCTTCCTAAAAAGCTGCATCACCACCTCCTGGTAAATCCTGAGATACGTGAGCAGTTTCTGTGCATTCTGCTTCTTCGCTGCTCGCAGCTGACTGCACAAATTCCGCTGCTGTTCACTGGTTGCTCAGTATGTAAATCTGTACAAGGAAGGAAGAATAAGTCAGCACGATTAATAGAACAGGAAGCAAATAAGCCATGAGAGCCTAACTTTCAAACTACATTAAGGCTGGACACTAAGAATAACCGCTCCCTCCAATAAAGCCGCATTTCCCCCCTCCTCTCCCTCCCTCTCTCCCTCCCTCCCAGCAACTGATAAATTTCTCCATTTCTAATTACAACTGCAGTACAGAGAAATCATGACTGAAAGTTCTCAGTCTCCAACTTTCCTACAGCTCCTACAGCTCCTACTGCTTCAGAGCAGCTAAGTAACAGGGATTAAGGGAAGCGAACAACTGGGGAAAGAAACAAACAAGAACTCTTCATTACTCTTAAGACACACTCAAGCTGGACTCGACAAGAGACTGAAGTGCCTTTGGAGCAGTGCGATTCCAAAACGAGCACCATTTCCCTTGGAAACTGCTCTGAAATCCCTCCACTCTTACATACCTGCTAGGAGGAATTCTACCAGCCAAAGCCGTTTCTACTTCAGGAGGCAAAGCTGTTTCCTTTCTCTCCCTGAGACACCTGAGAAGCAGTAACACATTCCCTCTGCAGCTCAGGTTTGACTGGGGGGCCTGCTGCCAAGAACAAACATCAGTGGAAAACAGCTGATAAGACAGCTAAATACTGAGATCATTTCTGGCACGTACATTATGAAGCAACCTAACGATACTCAGAACATCTTGCATTCAGAGCTTTTGAAAAGGCATCCTTAGATAAAAAGACACTCATTCAGGATAACTAAGGAACTGTAAATCCGCCATGCTTTGGTTTTCTGCTGCTATCCAAGAACCTCCGTGCAATAATGAAGATTTCAAACTTGCCACTGCCACTACAGACACCAGCTTCCTTTGACATTTACTTATATTTCTGGTAGCCCAATATGTGCCACCTTTTATTACTATACAGACACTCACAGCCTCAGAAAGGGTGACTGGCCAAATGGAAGATGACAGGTTTTCTCAGTTGAAGTACTGTTAGAGTCTGTTGGTTCCAGCAGCACTATACTTTCCCCTTCCCTTTGAAATTCAAGTCTCAGACCAGGAACAGGTCAGCATTTTCATACCGTTACAAGAATTAGTGATGGCCTTACACCAAACAAAACACAGCTACAAGGAAGAGCCACACGGGAATCATCTGCAGAGGAAAAGCAAAACCAAGGACTGCAAAAGCCAGTCAGAAACGGAAAGCTGTCTGCAGCAGCTGTACTACCGATGAGCTCTGAGCATGTGAAATTCCAGAAGATCTGACACAGCGACTGAACAGAACTTATTTCACATCTCTTCTGGGAAGCACAAGAAAAACCAGGGCAATCCAAGGCATAAAGATGTAAAGCTACCGGAAAGGAATGGAGGCAGAGCAGCAGGATGCCTCCGAGTTGAAGGGATGACTCGAGTTGAAGCTGAAGCACACGTGCTGCTCTCGTAGTGGCCAGTCAGAGCGAGGCCTGCGCACATCCACTGCCAGTTCAGCTCAAAAAGGCACTCAGCACTTCACCCTGACATCTTAAACAGCGCCTCGCACACATTCCAAAATCCTACCCGCAGCTCCCTGTCTCACTGCAGACCAACGCTGAATCCTGCATAAGGCACGTTTCTGCTCTCACGTGCAAATAGCTACAGCTCAGCATCACTCAAGTTGAAAGTCTAGGATTTGGAGATCACAGACCTGCACTGGCACTGAAAGAATCGACGTCCTATTAAGACAGAAGAACTCAATGACCAGCACTAATGAATGACTGACTAATGAGCAGCACAGCTGAATAAATTACTAGCTCAGTTAACGCTCACCTTCTTCCAGAACTTTAAACGAGAAGTCGGAGGGCCCATCTTGTGCTGGAGGAGCCAGCTTGGATGCCTCGCTCTCCCAAGGTTCCTGAGCTGCACTGCAGCTTTTGGCTGCTTCAGCCACTCCCGGTTTTTCCTGCTCTGCTTTCTGAGATGTTCAAATTCCATCAGCGCTCCTTCCTGGAGGATTAAAGCCGAATCCAAAGAGGGAACCGATGGCCGAGGTCTTGCCAGATGGGAATGTCTTTTCGTTACTGAAAACGCTCTTGACACATTCAGACCTCAATACAAACTTTGGAGCAGACACCACGGTTTTTCTTGGCGTTTCACAGGTGCTTAAAGCCTCTGAGGCCTCTACAGCGGCATCAGAACCATCACCACCATGGCTGAGGTCGCTGTGTTCCCTGGTAGCTTCCTCCAGCACAGCTACAGAGTTGGCACCACAAGGAGACGCTTTGGCTGCGTTCGTACCAGAAACATGAGCTGTTATCCACGTGCCTTTCTCACAGCTGGGCTCACTCTTGTCCCTGTTTGCTGTTTCTTGAGATTGGAGTGTAACTCCACCACCTGAGGGCAGTTCATTTTTGTCTTTTCCATCCATGTTTGTCAAGCCTGCTGTACGCTCCTTGGGCGGATCGTCTTCCTTAGCGCAATTTGTATTGCACTCCTCTATGCCAAATTTAAATCCACCTGGAGGCATCCACACTGAGAAGTTACATCTTCCCTCTGCAGGCTCCGCTTCAGCATCTGCCAGATTCTGAGAGGTACACGCTGGGGTTTTCCCATCGAGTTGAAAGGACAGTTCTTGAAGAGATACTGCTGAACGAGTTTTGTTTGCGTTCTGCAGGGCAGCACATTTTGGGGCAGCGGGTTCATTTCTCACTGCAGAGATGTTACAGTCCCACTGCCCTTCCTTTGTCGCAAAGGCGGATCCTAATTTGTCCTGTGCGGCACTGACACAGGACTCTGCAGGTTTTAAACCTGTGGGTGCAAACGCAGGTCTTGTAAAACAGCCTGCTTCAGGCAGAGGTGGATTTGCGCTCGCCTGGGGCAGGCCGTAGTTGTAGCGATCATCACCTCCACGAGGAGAAAGGATTCCAGCAGACGGAGCATCAAAACACACAGGTGCACCACAGGTGCCTTGAGGAAGCACAGCAGCACAAGTGCTGTGCAGAGGCGGCGCGTGGATCGCTTGTTGCTGAGCACGTCGACGTGCTGAGGTGCAGCTCCGTTCGTGCCACAGACAGGCGCCTACAGAAAAACACACCGTTACTTCCTCGTGCAAAAGCCTGCTGCTTCAGGCTGGGAAGCGAGATTTCCCTTCAGATATTTGCAAATTTCTTCCTTACACTCTCCCTGTAATTAAGCCACTCTTCTAGCATATGGGCTGACAGCAGTCCCAAGGCATTTTCAAATCCAGTTCTCCAGAGTTACTGTGAATTTTTATTATAAGGGCGCTGCAATTGTCCTCAAAATAAGTAGCTGTCAGTCTCACCTATTCAGGAACAATTCAGCCCGATGCCCGGTGTTTTCTTGGTTTTCATCTACAGCCCATAGGACAGTGAAGACTGAAAATGACTGCCTCAGCTTTACCATAATAAAAAAGAAAAAGAAAGAAAGAAAAAAAGAAAGGAAAAAAAGCAGCAAACCTGTTGGAACAAAGAAGGGAACAGAAGTGACAGGAAAAGAGCAGTATTTTCTTTTACACTTGGGACGAGCAGTGCTTACAAATAGTGTATTAGTAGGCAGAAACCAGCAGACTAGGAGACACTGGAAGTCAAATTCTATCTTAACGTCCTGCAGACACAAAGAAAAAGCCCAGTACGTGTCAGGATCAAACCGCTGCTTGCAATTCATACGCAGCCAAAATGCAGAACGTTTCATGGTGTGTTCCAAGACGCCAAGCGTGCTCTTTAACAAGCCTTTAACTCTGACATGAGCTGCTCATAAGATTAAAGCAGAACTACGGAACATCTGTAATTACTGGTTTTATTACCACACTGGCTTTTTCGGTCACAGGCCAACATTTCCAGCACATCTTGCCCAGCACCATCTCCTCTTATTAGTTTTGACTTTGGTTTAGGAATCTGGCGAGCAAAGAAAAGAATTGCTACAGCTTCTTGACAACAAAAAGCAAATCTCTTCATTTAGTCTTACAAGTTAGGAAACAAGCTTGTTTCTTTTCAGGAAAGGACACGAGGTGAGAAACTGAACGATTGCAAACAGCTGTAAGAGCGCACAAGAGAAAGCGATGTTCTGAGCGCAAGCACTTGTGCAAAAGGAAAACTGATTGCATTCCATAAAGCACAGAATTCAGCTTCATCAAGCTCTGCTGTCTATGCAAGAAGTGTGCGAGAGCTACTCGGGTCATTCCCCTCCCTCCCGTATCAATAACCTTAATGTCAGTTAATGCGGCTGCATTACAGAGAAGGGAACAGCCTACAGCAAATACACTCGTTAGCCCTTCAGAGTCGTTGCACTGCTGACAAGTGAAACAGCTGAGATTTTCTTCACCCCACTTGAAATCTTTCCAACAAGTACGGAAGAGTAAGATTTGGCGAGGAGACAGCCTTAAAAACAGCAGCTAGTTTTTGGAACGCAGGCGTTCAGTGCGTGCACAGCGAGAGCACTCAACTGCAACCACTGCAGGCACAAACGGAACAGGGACCGACACGGAAAGCGTTCAGGTACCACCAGGCTGCGAGTTCACACGCATCTCTCCATCGTGCCGCGCTGCTCTGCGCTGTTTCCAGCAGGAAAGTTCCAGCACGCACGTAGAAGCGTCCCGCTCCGCACAGCGCCGGCCTCGCGACCGCCGCCTGCAGCGCGACGTCAAGGCGCCCGCGGAGCCGCTCGTCTCCAGCGAGTTCCCCAGCGCCATCGCCGGGCCGCGCCGCCCGCCCGGACGCCCCGCTCCCCCACCTGCCGGCGGCCGCCAGCCCGCGCTCGCCGCTCTCCAGGAAGGCCCGCACGGAGCGGAGCGGGGCCGGGGCGGCGCGGGCTCGGCCTCGCTGAGGTCCCCCACGTCCCCGCAGCCGGAGCCCCGGAAGCGGAGCGGGCGCACGACGACAGGCATCGCCGCGGGCAGCCGGGCGGAGCCGCGCGGTGAGGACGCGATGACCGAGCGCAAAGGACCCCGCCCGGACTGCCCGCCCCGTTCGGCGGACTGACCAATGGGAGAGGCGAGGGGGCGGGGCCGAGCGCGGGCGCCCCGCCAACGGCGGCTGCCGACGCGAGGCCGCCGCGACGGCGATGGGGCCGGCGGGATGGCGGAGCCGCGGGGCTCCGCGCGGAGAAAGCGGCGCTCCGCCGCCCCGTGCCTCGGGGACGCCGGGCGGTCAGGGGAAGGCACCGCCGCCGGCCCCGTCCGTCCCCCGTCGGAATCCAGCTGTTCTCGGAGGCGGAACCGAGCCGTCCTCCGTCGTTGCGGCGAGGCGCCGTCCCCGCTGAGTGACGTCATCAGCCCCGCGACCCGAGCAGGGGGCGGCCGTGCGGAGCAGCCGGGCCTCCGAGAGCCGCCTCGGCTTCTGCAGGCGGCTGTTCGGGGGGCACCGGGGCGGGGGCCGGGCTTCAGGTGCTGCAGGGGCCGCGTGCCGCTCTGCGTTGGCCTCGTGACGTCGCTGCGGTGCTCGGGGTTCCGCTCGGCGGGGGCGGCTGCCCTGCGTCTCCCCGCCTCCCCCACCCCGTGCGTTTCACTGCCCTCCTCCCCTCCCCCTGCCACGGATCGCCCGCAACCCCCCCCGTCCCTCTGTGTGACCCCCGGGGTTGCGCCTCCCTCCCCCTTCTTCCCCCTTCGTTTCCCCCGTTCTGATCCCTGTCGTTCTCTTCCGGCCCTCCCCTCTGCGCCTCCCCCATTCTGACCCCCAGGCTCCACCTATCTGTCCCCCCGCCCTCCCGCTCCCTCCCCTGTCCCCCGTTCTGATCTCTAATGTCCCTCCACCCCGTCACGAGTCTCCCCATTCTGTGCCCTAGAGTCCCCCCACTTTCCCAGTCCCCTCTGTCTGACCCCCAGAATCCCCTCTCCTCCTCCCGGGTACCCCCGCTCCATTTCCCCCATTCTGATCCTTAGAGTCTGCCATCACCCCCCATTACCTTCTCTTTGACCCCCAGGGTCCCGTGTCCTCCTTGCTCCCCCCACCTTCTGACCCCTTTTTCTGACCTCTGGAGTCCCCTGTGCTCCTCCCTGACCCCTGGAGTCAGTTCCCCCATTTTGACCTCCATTCCCCCCCAACCGGACTCCTTTTCTGCCCAATAGAAGCCCCCCACAACCCCTGGCTCTCTCCTCCCACCCCTTCCTCCCTCCAGCCCCAGATGCGCTTTCTGCCTTGCAGAGGCTCTGTTCACCCTTTTCCCTTCCACAACCCACTAAATTCCCCTCCAACTCTTTTTCAACCCCATAGGCACCCCACTCCCCTCTTCTCCCCCAGATACTCCCCTGAGGTCTACCCCAGACTCCCACCCCATAGAAGCCCCCCACAACCTCCTCACCACTCCTAGACCCCCTTTCCTCCCTGTAGAGACCCCACTCCTTTTTTTTTCCCCCTCACAATCCTCCATCCACTCCCAGACCTGCCCTTTCTGCCCTACAAAAACCCCTTTTCCCCCTTTCAACTCCTCAAGTTGCCCTCCACAATATTCCCCTCCACAATGTACCCCTCCACCCCCAGACCCTCCTTTCCACTCACAGAAGCCTCTTTCTCCTCTTTTCTCCCTCACAATCTCCTCCCCACCCCCAGGTCCCCTTTCCACATCACAGGGCTTCTAGCCCACCACAATCCCCCAGTTTCCCTCTTCCACCCTTTCTCCACCTCCAGACCCTCTTTCCAGCTCACAGAAGCCCCACTCACACCTTTCCCCCCGTAGATTCCCCACAACCCCCTGTCCACCCCCAGACTTTCTTTCCACCTCTAGAATCATAGAATCATAGAATCACCAAGGTTGGAAAAGACCTAAAAGATCACCCAGTGAGGAAGACTGTGAAGCAAAACAGACCTGGCTGGCCTGAAAGGGTCAAACAGGGAACACGCGGCCCCTCCTGAAAGGGAAGGACTGCCATGTGAGACTGGCAAGCATAAGCTACAGCTTCTTCGTTCCGTGACCAAGAGCAGAACGTGTTCTGTGGAGAGAACGCCTTTTGATCTCTGCACTGACCATCATCCACAAAGAGCTGATTAAACAATGATGTATGACTGCCAGCTGCATGAATGCTATCTGATTTAGGTACTGTGTACTCGCATAGCAAAAAGATACAAAATGCCTGTAACAACAACACAGATTGCTACTTGCCACCAGAGCTGCAGCCCGCCTGTCATTCAGGCGTCCCGAGGAGCTGGTCTCCATCAGCAATCCCAACTCCAACAATCATCATTTCTTTTATCCACCTACAGTCACACATCCCCAAAGGGCTCTGCTTTACCCTGACTGGGTCAGCTCTTGCTTTTAACTTCTGGTTAGGGCTGCATTTTTTCTCTGCCAGCTCTCCCTGATACCCACACTCCTAAGCATATCTGACTCAGGATTTCTGTAACGTCTGGGGCTACAGCCTTGTTTTCCACCGTTTGTGTTAAGGGCAGACTTACAATTCTCAATCACTTAATATTGTTTGATCCTTAGCTCCAGTTCTCTTTAGTTTCTTGCTAGAGTGACCTGACACGGACAAGAATTTATGTATTCCTACTTGTTCTCTCAGCCCACATTTAGTTGATCCCAAAAGGAAGCCTTTTCTTACTGGGCATCAGCTCCTCCTGCTGCTACAAAACCACCTGTGGCCGTTAAGAGGCACCCGTATCCACCAAGAGATAAACCTGATCCTGCTCCCCTCTCTTCAGTTCTGACATCACAGTCACACCCTGCTCATCTCCACCTTCCTCAGCCTGTGTCCTTTCCAAACCTTTCACTGTCACAACTCTCAGCGTTGCACAAACTACTGACATCATCCTTCGCTTTCTCCTCCTCGTCTCCGGAGGCTTCCAGTGCTGAGGCTGGCATTTCGGGGTTCCTACATCTCTGCAGAGCCGGTCTCACTTCCTCTCCGCCTCCCCCTGTGCAAGTGCTGCTCTCACAGCAGCAGCCTCCACCTGCAGCTCGCTCTCTCACCAAGTTCTGCTCGCAGAGGAACGCTGCAGGGGGTTGCTCTCATGCGCACATGAACTCACTTTCTCTTTCACCCTTTTTCCTTTGGACATTATTCCACTGTTCGGGCCCTCATTACACTTCCACATACCCTCATTCTATTTCTGCAGACCGTTAACAATTACCTTTCTGACACCATCACAACAGTTTGTCCCGTTCCTTTCACAAGCCACAAACCAAACCGTACAGTTCTTCAACTCCCACACACACCCAGCACTTGGTCTCTCATGATTATGGCACTCCATTATAAACCTGGTCCCATTACTCCATTGACGTTCCTGCTTTCTTACTTAATATTCCCCCCCCCCGGCTCACCAGCACCGTTTCTCCAGTGAGCCAAAATACCACGCAGGGGCTCTTCTCCTATCCCTTCAGACACCCCTGTTCCACAACAGCCTCCTAGGGAACACTGTCACGACACAAACACCCAGCAACAACAGAGACGGTGACAACAACCAGCACAAAGCATCCTCGGGATCCTTCCTCTCTCTGCCTCCCTCCAGGGCCCAACCTTCCCTCTGTCTTCCACCATCGTCGCAATCTCAGCTCATTCCAACGCAGAAAACACGCACGCACCAACACATGACACAGAGCACAGCCATCTCTGCCCGCTGCCCTGTGGGAGAACGAAGCTGCGCATCAGGACTCTGCTCCCGCTCCGTAGCTCAGCTACGCCTCACTGCCCACAGCCACACAGCACCCGCCTGGACAAAACACAACTTCCTTCGTCGTCCTGATTTCCTCGCAGGACATCCAATGTTCTGATGGCGTTCATTCAGACGGCACCGAGCATTTACAGCACAGCTAACAGCAACCACATCACCTGTAACTGCTGTTATCACAACCAGGAGGACAGAGATAAGCACTTCGCAGGATGCCCACTATACCCTGCCCCCTCAGGACAGCCCCACATCCCTGCCACTCGTATTTGTGCCCCACGTCTTTTCACCCCACATCCCTGCCCCGAACCCCAGCCCCAGATCCCAGGCCTACATCCCTGTCTGAAATCCCTGCCCCACGTCCCAGCCCAGCAACTTCTGCCCAACATCCCAGCCTCACATCTTTGTGCCCCACATCTGACCCCACATCCCAGCAAGTCATCCCTGCCCCATGTCTCTGCCCCACAGCCCAGCCCCCATCTCTGCTCCAAAGCTCTGCACCGTAACAGCCCAACATCTCTACCCCTACGTCCACGTCTTCCTGCCCCATACCCTAGACCAACATCCCAGCCCTACTTCTCCTCCTCCTCAAATTGTTGTGCCTGACATTCCTTCCCCATAAAAGCCCCACATCCAAGCTCCAAATCCCAGCCCCACAGCTTGGTGCCCCATATCCAAGCCTTAAATCCCTGCCCCACATGATTGTGCCCCACATCTTTGAGCCCCACATTTTCATGCCCTTCATCCCTGCCCCATAAAAGCCCCAAATCCCAGCCCCACATCCGTACCCCACAAAAGCCCCACATCCCAGAAACCACTGAAATCTCTCGTCATCATTTGTAGCCTTCTCTGAGCAATTTCCTCACTGCTAAGCTGAACTACGAGTAAAGGAAAAGAACCAGTGGCCCTAACCAGCCTGGGGAGGTTCCTGGCTATGGCCCTGACCCAGGAAGGCAGCACACTTCCCAGTGCTTCGGGTCCAGTCTGCAGATGGGGCCCTGCATTCCTCCGAGAAGGGAGTCGCCCACCACGGCCACCCTTCCTTTCCTGGCAGCACCTTTGGCCTGCCTGGCTCGCCAAGCGCATCAACAACCAGATCCCAGATGTCAATCAGTAAGGATGCAGAGAGGGCAGGCTGCAAAGATGGTCGCATTAGAGAGGGAGAATCAGAAATGAACGGAGAGCTTACCTGTGACCTGGGCTCGCGGGAAAAGACTCCAAGAGGGGCGACGTCCAGAGAGAGATCCTTCCCCAGAGGCAGTCGGTCCTTCGGTGGGGCCCAGGAGAGGCGCAGCCAGGCTGCAGCCCTTCTGCTCACACAGCTGAGTTGCCTTCAATGCGCTCCCGAGGCTGACTCAGTGCTCGTCTCAGGGGACCCTGCAGGAGGAGCAGCCCCCAGGCCCTGGGCACATCTCTCACCTCCCTGCCACACGTCCTCAGGCTGCTCTCAAACCCTTATCTGCATGGCCTTCATCCCTCTCGCTATCCCACACCCAGTGTCTGCCATCCCTTACTTTTCTAACAACCTCCACATCCTTGCTTCTGTAAGCTATCTCTAACTACCCCTGTCCTCAGCCCCTGTCAAGTCCTTTTCTCACCTTTCACTTCCTACTGGGGGGCCCTCCTCTCATCCTTCAGACTAAAGGGCAGTGAGGACACTGGCAAGAAGGCAGAGCAGAAATGGAGTTTACATGCAGCAATGAGGAGCAGTGAGGAGGCAGAAGAAAGAAGAACAGAAGTGGAGTGCAGATAGAGAAGAGTAGAGAGAACAGACACAAAAGCAGAAGTGTAGATGCAGAATAAAGAGCAGCGAGGAAACCAAAAAAGCAGCATCGTAACAGGAATGCAGATGCAGACGAAAGAAGCGAATTCACGGCAAAGAAAACAGCAGAAGAGTTTGGATGCAGAAGAAAGAAATGAATCACAGAACTGTAGGCGTTGGAAGGGACCTCTAGAGATCATTGAGACCAACCCCCTGCCAAAGCAGGTTCCCCACACCAGGTCGCACAGGTTTGAAGAGAAAAGGAATAAAGAACAGCAGAAGAGGAGCAGTAATGCAGAAAAAAGAGGAGTGAGGATGCAAGGAAAACAGCAGAACTGCAGATGCAAATGAAAGAGTGAGGATAAATGGAAGAAAGAGCAGCCAAAGTGGAGAGCGGACACAGAAAGAAGACGTGTGTGAACACAGGGAAGAAAGGAATGCAGGCAGAACCAAGAGGAGAGAGGGAAGAAAAAGTAGAAGAGGAAAGCAGATGTAGAAGGAAGAAGCAAGGAGATAGGGAAGAAAAAACAACAGAGGAGGAGAGCAGATGAAGAAAAAACAGGGAAAATAAAAGCAAGTAAGAACAGAAGAAGAGGAGTGCAAGTGCACAAGAAAGAGCAGCACGCATACAAAGAAGAAAGAACAGCAGATGTGGAGAGCATACGCAGAAGGAGGTGAGGACAGAGGAAAGAAGGAACAGCAGAAGAGTAAAGCTGATGAAGACGAGTGAGGATGCAGGGAAAATCCAGCAGAAGAGGAGTGCAGATGGAGAAATAGGAGCGAGGACACAGGAGGAGGAAGAGGAGAGGAGGACTGCAGATGCAGAAGCAAGAGTAGTGAGGACAGAACAGCAGTAGAGGAGCGCAGCTCAGAAGAAAGGGCAGTGAGTAGACAGGAAAGACAAGGTACAGGAAGGGAGTGCAGATGGAAGAAAGTGCAACAAGGACAGGGGAAAACCAAGAAAAGTGGAGGGCAGATGCAGAACAAAGCGGAGTGAGAACTGATAGAAGACAGAAAAGGAGGAGTGCAGATACAGAACAAAGCAGTGAGGAGACAAAGAAAGACGACCAAGAGAGGAGTTTAATTATGCAGAAGGAAGAGGAGTGAGGATACAGGGAAGAAAGAACAGCAGAAGAGGAGAGAAAATGCAGGGGAAAAGGAAGAAAGGACACAAGGAAGAAAGAGCAGAAGAAGAGTGTGGATACAAACCAAAGAGCAATGAGGATAGACAGAAGACTGAACAGCAGAAGAGATGCAGCAGAAAAAGGAACGACTAAACAGAGAAGAAAGAATAGCTGGATAGGTGTTCAGATACGAGCGAAAGAGCAGAGAGGATATGGGGAAGAAAGAATAGAAGAACTGGAGTACATATGCAAAAGAAAAGAAGAGAGAGGAAAGAAAGAGCAGAACAGTAAAGCTGACACAGCAGTGAGCAGTAAGGGGATGGGGAAGAACAACAGTAGGAGTGCAAGTGTACAAGGAAGAATATTGTGGATACAGAAGAACGAACAGCAGATGGGGAGTGCACATGCAAAGAGCGAGGAAGCAAGGAACAGAACAGCAGAAGCAGGAAGAGGAGCGAGGATACTGGGGAAAAACAGCAGAAGAGGAGGGATGCAGATAAAAGAGCAGCGAGGATACAGGGGAGAAAGAAAAGCAGGAGTGTAAAGCTGATGTAGACAACAAAGGAGTGAGGAGGCAGGGGAAAAACAGCAGGAGAGAAATGCGGGTGGAGAAGAAAGAGGAGCGAGGGCACAACAATAAACAGCAGAAGAGGAGTGAAGATGCAGGTGAAAGAGCAGGGAGGAGAAGCAGTAAGAAAGATCAGAAGTGGTGGGCAGATGCAGACAAAACGGGAGAGAGGATAGGATAAAGAAAGCCAAGCAGAAGGGGAGTGCAGGTGCAGAACAAAAGGCAAGTGAGGATACAAGGAGGAAAGGAGAGCAGAAGAGGACTGCAGCTGCAGGTGGATGAGAAGGGAGAAGACAGGGATGAAAGATGATGAGTGTGCTGCAGAAAAAGGAGAAGTGAGGTTACAGGGGAGAAAGGACAGCAGAAGAGAACAGACGCAGAAGAAAGAGGAGAGTGGAGAGAGAGAAGGAAGGAAGAGCAGAAATGGGGCTCAGATGCAGAAGAAAGAGGAAGGGGGGAAGAAAGGAAAGCAGAAAAAGAGTGCAGATGGAGAAGACAGGAGAGAAGACAGGGAAGAAGTAGGAGAAAATGATGACTGCAGATGCAGAGTAAAGAGCAGAGAGAAAGTGGAAAAGAAGCAGCAAAAGAAAGAGGACTGAGGATTCGGGGAAGGAAGAACTGCAGAAAGGGAGCGTGAATGCAGAAGAATCAAATGAGTGAGGATAAATAGAAGACAGAACAGGAGGAGTAGAGCAGCAAATGAAAGAGTGAGGATTAAAGGAGGAAAGAACAGCCTCCAGCAAAGGGGAGAGCAAACAGAGAAGGAAGATGCGTGAGGATACAGGGAAGGAAAGAACAGCAGAAGAGGAGAGCAGATGCAGAATACAAAGCAGTGAGGATACAGAGAAGAATGAACAGCACATGTGGAGTGCATATGCAGAAGAGGAGCGAGGAAACAAGGAAGAAAGAACAGCAGAAGAGGAGGGAGGATGCAAGGGAAAAAAAAAACAGGAGAGTGAGAATGCAGAGGAAAGAGCAGGGAGAATACAAGGCAGAAGGATCAGCCTTAGGAGAGTGCAGATGCACAAGTGAGGATAGAGGGAAGAAAGGACAGCAGAAGAGTAGTGCAGATGCAAGTGACAGAGAGAAAAGGCAGGGGAAAAAAAGCAGCAGAAGAGTGCAAATGGAGAAAGAGAGAAAAGAGAAGAAAACAGGAGCAGAGTGCAGAGACAGATGCAGAAGAAAAAGGAATGATTATACAGGGAAGAAAGATTAGCAGGAAGAAAGAATAGCAGAAGAGGAGTTCAGATGCAGAAGAAAGAACAGGGAGGAAGCACAGAAAAAGGAATGGGAGAAGAGTGCAGATGCAGATGCAAAACAAGTGAGGAGACTGTAAAGAAGATCAGAAGACGTGGGGAGATGCAGAAGAATGGAGTGAGGACAGAATGAAACAAGAACAGCTGAAGGGGAGTGCAGCTACAGAAGAACGAGAAGTACGGAAAAAGGACAAAAGCACAACAGAAGAGCAGTGTTGATGCAGAGGAAAGAGGAGCGAGGAGGCAGGGAATGAAGAAGTGGAGAAGCAGAGGAAGAATGCAGAAGAAAGAGGAGAGAGGACAGAGAGAAACAACGAACGGCAGAAGAGGAGTGCAGGTGAAGGAAGAGTGAGAATATGGAGAAGAAAAAATAGCACAATAGGAGCCATGATGTGGAGAATTAATAGCCAGCTGAAGAGGAGCAAGGACAGAGGGAAGAATTACTCAAAGAGCAGAGGACAGCACAGAGAGAGAAGTGCAGAGCAGATGAGCCGCTGCTGCAGGAGGATGAAATAATGCAGAAACAGGGCAGAGGAGTGAGGAGGAGAAGAGGAAAAGAGCAGGAACAGGCAGGGGAGAACTGAGAGGAGGGAACAGAGGAGCAGGAAGTGCAGAAGGAGGAAGAGGAGAAATAACGGTGCAGAGAAAAGAAAGAAAAGGACAGGAAAAAAGAATAGGGAGGAAGGCAGCAGAGAGGAGAAGTTAGAAAAGACAGAAAAGAGAAGGGAGGGAAGGGATTGCAAAGGTAGAAAGGAGGAGAAATAGACAAGAGAGAAGTTCAACCAAAGAAGAACTAAAGATAGAAGAAGTGGGAAGTCACGTGCAGAGAGAAGAGGTGAGAGCAAATTCAGTCACTGACAGAAGAAGAAAAAGGAACGTTAGGAACTGTCAGTCTCTGTGAAAGCTGGATTCTTTGCAGGACATGCCGTGCTTGTTCTGCTTTTGCTTTTTTGCATTGCTTGCATTCTTGTAGACAATTGAACAACTAAGAACGGTCAGGAACATTCTCAGAACATGATTTGTGACGTCCCCTTAATCTCAGCTGCTCTGAAACACCCAACTGCTATCAAGCGAGAGTCACCTCCTTCCAGGCACCCTGCAAATCCAGCTTCAAGTGTCTCACTTTTAAACACTCACCTTCACGAAGGAACAAAGATGATCCCATACTGGGCTCAGAATCCTCCTCTGCCATCCAGCGCATCCATTTCCCAGCAGGACACCATCAGTGTGTTGTCAGCTGTGCCCATGCCCTCACAAAGCAAAACAGCCACGGACAGCTGCCTGCAGAGCCCTTGGAGCAATCCCCGACAGACACAGAGGCTGCAGGCGTCCGCAGTCCCTGACGTGCTGGGAGCTGATGTCTCTGGGCCCAGTGCACAGCAGCATTTCCTTCCATGCTTTCAGGCCTCCTGACAGCAAACCTCTGCTCCAAAGCGTCCTTTGGCCAAGGAATTTGTGCCACCAAGCACAGCGCTTTCTCACCTGACCGCATCCAGAAAGCATAAAATCAGGCAAACTGTGTCATCCTCCCAAGTGCTGCCGTTTCCACAGACTGCTGGCACTGCACAGCTAACAGCTGCCACTGACAACCAGGAGGGGCTTCTGTGGGGGCCAAGGCCAGAGGCGCGGCAGCTGCAAACAGAGGCAAGAGCAGACACAGCTTTAAGTTACCCGAGAAACACAAAGGACTCAACCCAGGAAATCTCCACAGAACTGCTGACCCCATTCTGAGCAACAGGGCGCACAAAACAGCAGAGCTCCTTCCCTGCAGGCAGCCAGCCCTTCCATGAGCCTCCCCCTTAGGGAGGGGGGAACCAGGCTGCACCCCTTGGTCATGCAACTGAACGGCTTCCACTGCTCTCCACAGCACAACAGGCTCGGTTGGAGATCAAAGCCTGTGATGTAAAAATAAATACATAAAAGTTTTCCTGCTTCTTTCTCATCTGTGTCATCTGACTGCTGTTGGAACCCAGCGCACTTACAGGGCCTTGCAAATGACAGCTGGAAGCAGCTACATCCAGCACGCACAGCACCCTGCAAGCTCCAGGTGAGTGACAGCAGCCAAGGAGGCCTCTGGGCTCTGCAGGGTCCGAGTGTGGAGCATTGCACACAGGAACAGCTGAGCATCAAGTTGAAGGCACAGCTCCAGAACTAGCCAGCACCAAGAAGCACAGTGGCACAGCTCATTTCCCACACAGGAAGAGCCGTGACGAAAATGCACATCTGTTCAGCTTTCCTCTCCTGTCCCTGCCTTCTGCCCCATCAGACGGGAGGAACGGCCACGCTTCCACAGACAGGTTCCTCTCACAGCCCGCACCCCTCGGCGTGGAGCATTCCCGGCTGCAGGACAGAAACAACAGCTCTGGCCATGCACCATCTGCCAACTGCCATCTTCCTCTGCACATCGCTCCTAGTCATTAGTTGAGCAAACACCATCCTGTTGGCAAACTTTGCTCGTTATGCACTCATTAGAAAACCAAAAGCAGCTCCATCCCAACACTTATCCACTTCCAGAGTGCTAGGACTCCCATCTCGCACGCACGCTGCGGTTTTCAGCCTAGGCTTGTAGAAACAAAGCCAGAAAATTCCACTCCGCTCAGTACAAAGCTCTGCAATGATGAGAGTCACTCAAGCTCCGCCCCAAAGGGTGAAAAGTAGCATCAAAATATCTGAAGAAAGGGGGGACGATGAAGGAAGGCAGCACTGCAGAGAAGTCAGGAGAACAGCTCTGCCTTCCGGGATCAGGCGGCCAGCGGAGCCTCTCTTCCCCCAGCAGAGACGCCTGCAGGCTGAGGGGCACACGCTCACTTTGCTCAGTGCTGCCCCGAGAAAGTCAGACGGCTCTATGGAGCTGCTCTCTAACTGCTCAGACAGTGCGTCTGTGGGCAGGGCCCAGGATTGGTGCGTCCATTGCTTCTGTACCCTGCAGCATTCCCTGATGGAGCTGTGGGAGCTCTGACCCAGCGCCGCCAGTGGAACAACGAGGAGGTGGTGGGATAACGAGGAGGTGGAGCAATAACCAGGAGGTGGAGCAATAACCAGGAGGTGGAGCAGCAGCTCACTGGGTGCTGCTGGACAAATCAGGCCATGCGCTCCTTGTGAATGCAAAACTCCAATTGTTTATTGATGGATTGAAACCAGAGCGCCAAGTTGGGCTGCTGCCACAAAGCCGCTGCCTGCTGATGCTCCTCCGCTCAGTCCTTCAGCTGCAGCTTCTCCATCATCTCCACAAGGCTGTTCATGGTGGAGAACTGGAAAGAAACAAGGCAAGTGTCAAAGCAGCACACCGCTTCCCCCAGTATTCCACAACCCCCTTCATGTCTGACAGACAGAGAACAAGAGCCGTGTCTGTGCTCGCCAAGGACTCACCTCTGCATGTGCAGCAGCAGCTCTGAGAGCAGCCTTCTTCATTTCTGCTCTCCTTTCTTTCTGTCGTCGTCGTCTTTCTAGAGAGCAAGAGAAGAGAAATTCAGTTTGTCAATAGCAAAACCACGGAAACACGGGTACCACGACAACAGCCTGGGAAATCTCTCAGGAACGGGTATTTGCAGTGGGACGAGCAGAGGGCCATCGTGGGCTTCATGGGAAAAGATAGGATGACACATTCTGGCACATCCTTTGGACTTGGTAGCCTTCTACTCTTTTCCCCTCCCTGCAGAAGGGAAGAAAAAGCAAAGCAAACCCCAAGCAAACTCCACGTGCTTGACAAGGGAAGCACCTCAGCAGGGCAGCTGCAGCATCTTCTTACCTCTTCGCTTTGAGGTCCGGAACCTCTCGGTCGGCACTGGGGCAGGCCCAGGCTGTGCTGATGGAGCTGGCACAGCACCTCTGCTCTGATGAGGGCTCTGAGCCTTCTCCCCATTGTGCTCCACTTTCACTTGTTTGTTGGCAGGACCCAGCTCTGCCTCCTGCTCCTCCTCTTCCACTCCCTTGCGCTTTCTTGCGACCACGATCTTGGAGGAGGAGCAGTTGGCAACTGCAGGAGCAGCTGTTCCCCCTCTGCTGGGACCTGCTGCTTCAGGAAGCCCTCCAGCCTGGAGAGGAGTTTTCATGGAGCTTTCGCCATTTGGCTCAGCACCTCTCCCTGTTAGAAACAAGAAAGGGGAAGCAGCAACATGTAATGAGTCCAGCACTACCTGCAGTCTGCAAAACAGGCCACGATACTAGGAAATCTCATCTCCAGTGTTCACAGCAATGCACCTTAGGATCTTGGGTGAACTGTGGGCTTGCATTGTCAATTGGGACAGGAAAGGTAATTGGAATCCCCAGGGATTAAGACCTCAAGCAACATGCAATGACAACAGTCCCAGGAAAGGGCAGACAGAAAGCCTAACTAGAAAGACAGGGCACCAAACCCAGATGCCTGCTGCGTGTCCTACCTCTCTTGGGTGCTGGGCCACTCTCCTTGCTCCTCCCCTGCCTCCCTGCAAGCCTGTTGTCATCAGCTCCTGACAGAAAGGAAACAAGACAGACATGAAGAGCATCTCTGTGGAGGAACATTTTAGCACAGCCAACCACAAACTTCTGCTCCTCAAGCGTCGTTTCTTCAATCTGCCCTTCTGCTGCTCCAATGGTCCGCCATTTCTGCAGTCAGCAGACATCTGCAGGGCCCTTTCCCCTCTCCTCCATCACACGCCCCTTCACGCAGCCCTGTTTACAGGCAGTACCCACAGCACAGCTCACAAGAGCTTCTTACCTGGGGAGGCTTTCCGTTTCCCCCCATGCCCAGCACCATTCCATGGACGCGCAGGCTCCGTCCCTACAACAACAGATGGAGTGTTGGTTTCCCAGGAGCAGCGCTGTCCTGTTAGCCCACATCCACCCCCAAAACCAAAAGACACTGTTCTACAGCCAGAACAGAAGCTGATGGTTAAACTGCAGTGCGCTTACACAAAGCATTACTGCTCTCACTCCTGCTCAGGTGGCAGCAGAGGAACCCAGGGCTGCCTGACAGCTCTGCATTCTGCACAGCAAAGCTGCTTCAGCAAACAAAACGCTACAAAACGCTGCACAAGTTGAGACATGGATTTTTTTGTCTCTGAAGGGAATTCATTCAGCTCTGAGCGCCACCACTTACACACAGACTTCTGTCTTACTGCTGCCATCAGCTGTCACTGTCAGCCTCCCCAATGCTTCCACAATGGCTACTGGACATCCCTACAGCACTGCACCAACTCACAAGTAATACTCATTCTTCCATCCTTCATGACAGAGGACTGAAGAGACTCACTTGTGCATGGTGCTAAGGATGCTCCGTCCCCATCGCGTCCCTCTGCGCGCTGCAAGGCCCAGCTGGCACTGGGGCAGCCTGCTGGCTGCTGCTCCCTAGCATGGGGAACAGCACGGCGCTGCTTCTGAGGAGAGAAAAAAGGAGGGCCATGGATACAGGCACCGACGTTTGCAAAGAGATGCAGTGTTCCAGATCGTGCCAGAGAGCGCTGAGTTCTCACTGAAGGAAACATTGGGAGCGCATTCACAACATCTGCACAAGCTGCAATTGCTGGGCATATCCAGCTTTCTTAGCGGTCAGGTGCAGCAGACAGGCGCTCTCAGACAGCACTGCAGGGCTTGCACCAACACACCTGCAAACACCAGCATTCTTCCAAGGGAAACAGGGTCTTCAGGTGCCACAGTTCAACCCGTGCAAAATTACCGTGCGCAGCCTTAGCTCTGCACCATCCTTCCTTCCCCACCCTGTACTGCTGCAGGCAGCTAGAACAAACTTCTCAGCAGAAACCAGAGCAAACGTGGCAAACCATAACCAGGTACAGATGGCAGGAGGGCAGCGCCCGCTCTCGGCTCCCACCCTGCCCCACCAGGTGAAGGAGCCTGGCCATGCTGTCCTTTTGCTGCACCGCACAAGCCCACTGGTTACTGAGCTCCCTAAGGACCAGCAGGGCTCCCCCTGCTCCACCCCTTCCCCTCCAAAACCAGAGAAAGGAAGAAAACCCAAGTTAGAGAAACCCAGCCATACCTTTCCACGCGCAAAGCAGGAATGGGAACCGCGTCTGTGTCCCTGCTGGGACATGTGGGGAACGTCTCAGAGGAAGCTCACGTTCCTGGGGTCCTCTCCACAGGGACTGACCCCCCGCTGGTGGAAAGAGCTGGCTTCACTCTTCAACTGCCTCAGTCCCCAACACCTCCTTTTGTAAACCAACCCTGAAGAAAGAACCTGCAAGTGAAAAAGAGGAAAAAGCATTTTCCCAGCTTTCTTCTGCTATGCAGTTTAAGCTATCGGGCAGGGCAATACTCCAAACCAACTACTAATGAGAACTGTCTCCCAAATACATCCAGCTCCCACGCAGCTGCCATGAGTTCTGACAGCAAGCGTTCTTCTCCATCTCCTCCATAGTTTTGCACCTTGAAGCACACGGCTGGTGTTGCTGTCGTGAAGAAAACTCCTTTTGTCTCCCCGCCAGCCTGGACAAGGGCTGACGCAGCTGCCCACCCCAGCCCAGCTTTCCTGCTGAGACACCCAGCACCAACCCCAGCTCACCTGGCCACTGCTCAGCCGGAGCTGTGCCCAGCTCTCACACACGCCGCAGCGCTGCTTCCAGTGGGCTCTCACAGGAAGATCTCTCAATGAAAGCACAGAGCTCGGTCTCAGTGTGCACCACGCTCACTAGAGCACCAGCTCTGCTCCCAGCTGGGGCACAAACGCTCCCAGCCCGGCAGCCACTGTGACCTCAGCGAGTGCCTGCATCACCGCTGTGCTTGCATCATAGACAAAGGAGTGGTCACCTCCCAGACCCAAAGTTTAGGGAACCTTGAAGTATTTTACTGACTTGGAAGTATTTCACTTTACTTACTTCAGAAATTGCACACAGAGATGGCATGTTTTGCTATTCTTTTACACAAAGCAGAAGGGCAAAATGGGAGATACGTGCAGCAGCATCAACACCCCAGTTGCTAAAGGAATAGAAAGACAAATATCAAAAGTCAATACGTGATTCTGATCCAAGGAGGGAAGCTCATCTTCATATCACTTGTTATCATTTAAAACAGGCACTCACAGTGGGAAAATCGTAGGCCTCAAATTCTGACATAAAATAAAACCACAGCCCTGCCATGAAGGCCGGCTCATCAGCACCCATTACCACAGCAGCACCTGGCAACTCACGCAAAATGAGCCGTGCACAGAAGACTGCTGCATTTCTTCTTCTCCTGCCCCAGAAATTTGTTTTCCTACCCTAAGAAGGAAAGGACAAAAAACCAGGCAGGGCGCAGGCAGGGCGCAGCGCGTGCTGAACCTGCAGAACATTTGACCCTTCCACCGTTCCTCCGAGAGCAATCCAAGCCTTCCACCTCCACTCCTGCTTTCACCACTGTTCTTACCAAAGCCCTTTGATCAGCTGGGGCTCCTCCCTGTCCTCAGCAATAGCACTCACAGCACACAGATGCATCTCAGCTCCATTTCTTTTCCGCACCCACCCTGTGGGGACCGTGGGTTTCCCATCAGAAGGCTCCACACACACTGCCTTCAGCTCACTGAAAGGAGGCAGAACTGATGCAGTCGGGCTGTCCAACAGAAATCCAGCTTCTCTTCTCATTCCCACAATCCTTCCAGCCGTTCAGTACATCTGCCCAGCAGAAGTACACTGCCATGCCCTGGATTCTCCGCTGTCTTTTCCACACACTCATCCATCTACCAACAACGCGTGCACAGGATCCAAGAAAACAAATAGCTACACTCAGTGATAACCCAGGTGTCATAGTTCTATATTTTTGTTTTTGTTTTTTTTTGTTTTTGGATTTCAGTATTCCACATCAAAATATCATGTAGTGTACGGGGCATTAAAGTTTCACTGCCCCAGTCCCAGCTACCTATCCCTGTACATTACAGCAGTCACGGGATCTGGCCCTTCCGGGTGGGGGGGGCGCTCTCTTGCTGCCTGGCAGTGGGTGCTGGAGGTGCTTTCCTGGCCGTTCCAAGCTTTTCAGGTTTGAATCGGTCCCGGGAACTCCCTCTCTCTCATCTTGTCTGATTTATTAATCCCAATTTCAATTAAATTGTATATATTGTGTCATCTAGTATTCCAATATTATAGTAAAATAAGTTTTCCTCCATAGATTGTTGCCGCTGTTCTTTTCCTCCCTTCCTTCCTTCCCATTTTTGTGGGACTGGGGTGGGGGGGGGAGGGCAGAGGCCTGTCGCCCCTGTCATGGACATAGATTGCTCTGGTCAACTCCGTGACACCAGGGCAAGGAAAACTCAGACACAGAACAACCCTAAGTCAAAGCACTACCAAAACCAAAACACTGCCTCAAGCTCCCCCTCAGCTCTTTTCTCACAAGGCCACTCCTCTGCTTTTTCGTTCTTTTCCTCTGATTGCTTGCACTTCTGTGCAGCCAGAGCTTGGGAGAAAGCTGGGATGTAAACTGCACAGAACTGCCCCAGGAGCCAACACACAGAAAGCCTGGGCAGAAAGACAGTGCATCAAGTCCAGACGCTTGCTGTGTACCTGTACGTGTGCCTTCTCAAGCTCTGTCTCCTTCCCCAGCCTTTCTGCATGGCCACACTGCACTGGACGGCTACTGGTGTCAGCTTGTGGCAGGGAGAAAGCAAGAAGCACTTGAAGAGCAACTCTTTGGAGGAAGATTTTGGCACAGTCACCCACAACCTTCCAGTTTCCAAGCACGGTTTCTTTAATTTGCCTTTCCACTGCTCTAATATTCTACCATCTTTATAGTCAACACAAGGCACTTTCCTCTCTCCTCCATCACACGCCCTTTCATACAGTCCTATTTAGCTGAACACACCCAAACTACAGCTCACAGAATGTTCTTACCCACACAGGCTGCCCATTTTCCCCTTTCTCAATAAAAGCCGATCGAATCCCATGCTCCATCCCTAACACAAAGGACAGCATTTCCACATCACAGAAAGCAGTCGCCAACTGAATCCTTGTCCTTTAGGCCACGTCCACCAAAATCCCTCAAATACACTCTTTCTATAGCCAAAACAAACTCATTTCTCAACTGCAATGCACTTACTCTCTCTGACCTGGTAATCTCGGCTGGGGAGCACACGAACCCCCCCGTGATTCTGGAGGAAACAGTCAGAGACCTCCTGCTCCAACTGGGCTGCCACAAGTCGATGGGGCCAGATGGGATCCACCCGAGAGTGCTGAGGGAACTGGCGGAGGTGAGAGCCGAGCCGCTTTCCATCATCTGTCAGCGCTCCTTGTTGGCTGGTGAGGTCCCAGAAGACTGGAGGCATGCCGATGTGACTCCATTTATAAGAAAGGTCGTAAGGAGGATCCGGGGAACTACAGGCCTGTTAGCCTGACCTCGGTGCCAGGGAAGGTTATGGAGCAGATTGTCTTGAGGGAGATCACACGGCATGTGCAGGGTGACCGGGGGATCAGGCCGAGCCAGCATGGGTTCATGAAGGGCAGGTCCTGTTTGACCAACCTGATCTCCTTCTATGATCAGTGACCCATCTGGTGGATGAGGGAAAGGCTGTTGATGTGGTCTACCTAGACTTCAGCAAAGCCTTTGACACTGTCTCCCACAGCATTCTCCTGCAGAAGCTGACAGCCAGAGGCTTGGATGGATACACTCTTGGCTGGGTAAGGAGCTGGTTGGAGGGCCGGGCACAGAGAGTGGTGGTAAATGGAGTCAAATCCAGCTGGCGACCGGTTGTGAGTGGTGTTCCCCAGGGGTCGGTGCTGGGGCCTGTCCTCTTCAGTATCTTGATTGATGACCTCGATGAGGGCATCGAGTGCACCCTCAGTACATTCGCAGATGACACCAAATGGGCTGGAAGTGTGGATCTGCCTGGGGGTAGCGAGGCCCTGCAGAGGGATCTGGACAGGCTGGAGAGCTGGGCTGAAGCCAATAGGATGAGTTTCAACAAGGCCAAATGCCGGGTCCTGCACTTCGGCCACAACAACCCCAGGCGACGCTGCAGGCCTGGGGCGGTGTGGCTGGAGGGCTGCGTAGAGGAAATGGACCTGGGGGTATGGATGGATGCTGGGCTGAACAGGAGCCAGCAGTGTGCCCAGGTGGCCAAGAAGGCCAATGGCAGCCTGGCTTGCATCAGAAACAGTGCTGCCAGCAGGAGCAGAGAGGTGATTGTGCCCTGTGCTCAGCACTGGTGAGGCCGCACCTCGAGTGCTGTGTCCAGTTTTGGGCCCCTCACTGTAAGAAAGATATTGAGGCCCTGGAACGCGTTCAAAGGAGGGCAACAAAGCTGGTGAGGGGTCTGGAACACAGGGCTGCTGAGGAGAGGCTGAAGGAGCTGGGAATGTTCAGCCTGGAGAAGAGGAGCTCAGGGCAGACCTCACTGCTCTCTATGGCTGCCTGAAGGGAGGCTGTAGTGAGCTGGGGGTCGGCCTCTGCTCTCGTGTCATCAGTGATAGGACCAGGGGGAATGGTTTCAAGCTACGGCAGGGGAGATTCAGGCTGGACATGAGGAAGTATTACTGTTCAGAAAGGGTGGTCAGGCAGTGGAATGGATGCCCAGGGAGGTGGTGGAGTCACCGACCCTGGGGGTGTTCAAGGAAAGGCTGGATGTTGTGTTGAGGGACATGGTTTAGTGGGAGCTATTGGGAATAGGTGAACGGTTGGACTGGGTGATCTTTTAGGTCTTTTCCAACCTTGGTGATTCTATGATTCTATGATTCTACAGAAAGTATTGCTAGTCTCATACCTGCTGAGAGTGGCAAATCAACCCCCGTCTGCCTGACAGCTCTACAACGCTTCTTCTCCTTCTGCGCAGCTCCTGTGGCAAGCCGGGGCTCAGCTTTCCCACATTCCTGCATTCCTGGAAGGCTGCATTTTTTCATTCTTTGCCTTGCTTTGCCTTCCTTTGCTGTGCAATGGTTAGCTTCCCTACTTGCTTTCTCTACATTTCTCACCATCCATTGCTTTTTGCTTTTTAATCTCTTTTTCCGTTCTTTTCATTATTTCAACTTTGCTCTTTTTGGTTGTGTTTTGTTTTTTTCATTTTTTAGTATCTGTCATTTTTCTCTTTTTTTTTTTTTTTGTTTTGTTTTTTTTCTCTTTTTTTTTGTTTCGTTTCCCAGCCCACTGAAGTTACATTACATCCACCTACTGACCCCCTTTTATTCCTTTCATCTTCTTGTTATCTGCTCCTCTCCAGGGGCCTTTTCTCCTTGCATTACCCTATAGCCCCCCCGTAGCCCCATATTGCCCTATATTTCCCTATAGCCTATGCAAGCACTCTGTAGCTCCCCCACAGCCTTTTATATGCTTATATCTCTTTATATCCGTAAAATCAATAAATATACAGTTGTTATAATTAAGAAACATAGAGGGAAGTTAGGCTAAACAAGCTACCACACCGAAGAACAATGGATGGGAAGCTTGTCCTTGTCCTGGACTCACTGAGAAGACTCCAAGAGGAGCAATCTCCACAAGAGATCCTTCCCCACCAGCAGTCAGCTCTTAAATGGGTCTGGGAGAGGTGCAGCCAGGCTCCCCTTCCGGCAGCACAGGAGCACTGCCTTCATCTGTGCTTACAGGGCTGACTCGGTGCTCGCCTCAGGTGGGCAGTCAGAGGCTCAGGCCGCGACTCAGCAGTTCCCATACAGCACCCCTCCGCAGCCCCCTGTCGCACCTCTTTCTCCATATCACACCTACAGCCATCTCCCTGCAGCCCCAAGTCCCCTTCTATTCCACCTATGTTTATTGAACCATACTCTCTTTTTTCCTCCTCCCAGCCCTTTATAACCCTCCCCATAGCTCTCCCCAGACCCCTGTAGCCCACTATCACCCTGTATCACTTCACAACCTTCCTGTAACCCCACATCCCACCAATATTGCCCCATCTCCCCCTATAACTCCCTATAGTCCCTGTATTTGGGCCTATGTCTGGACCCTGTAGCCCCACATCCCTCCACAGCCCACCTTATACCCCCATTCAGCCCCCCATAGTCCCTCCCAACCCCCCCGTGCTCCCCATAGCACTGTTTCCCCATAACATCCTCACAGTCCCCTATTGCCCCAAATCCCCCATATCCCCCAATTCCCCACCACAGCCCACGATAATCCACACGCCTCCCTATGCCTCACAGCTTTCTGTAGCCCCCACTCCCCCAATCCCTCCCCAGCTCTCCACAGCTCCCTCTCCCCCCTCTATTTCTCCATTATTCCCTTATATCTCTCCCACAGCTCCCTATAGCCTCATATCCACCCCATATTCACAGCCCGTCCCGTATTTATCCCACTTCCCCACATCCCGTCCTGTCTGCATCCGCGTCCCAGTCCCACTCCCAGCCCCTCACCCCGCATGAAGCCAGGTTACGGCTGCCCAGGCGTCCCCTGTCCCGGTGCCGCTCGCCGTTCCCCCAGCTCCGGCGCCTCTGTCCTCAGCACCGCGGCGCTCGTGCCGCGGTTCCATCTCGGTGCTTCCGGGCAGCTCCGGCGCACAGCAGCGGCGTCGCGCGGGGCGACCCGGGCTGCGGGAGTAGCAGCGCCTGAGGGGAAGGCGGGGCAGCTCCGACCCGGCTGCTAACGGTCATTCCCGCGCGCCGCGCCTCAGCCAATGGGAGCCGGCGGCGCTGCCACTGACCAATGGGAGCCCGGGGGCAGGACAGAGCTGCACCGGACCAATGAGAGCCCGGGGGCGGGGAGGTGCGGGGCCGCTGATAGGAGGAGCAGTGGCATGGGGCGGGGCGGTGATGGGGGCGGGACTTCAGGGTGCGCCCTATTGCTATAGGGGGTGGGAGATGGGATTGGGATTGACAGGTGGGAGATGGGGATGGGATGTGGGATTAGGATGTGAAATTTAGGATTGGGATGTGGGATATGGGATGGTTATGGAATGGGAGATCGGTAATTGGAGTATATATGGGATGGGCCTTACGTAGAATGAGTGTCCTTCTTTTCTGTTTTAGTATTACTGCATAAGCCGAGCTGTCGGGTGTACTGTGTCATCTGTATATTCATTGATTGTATGATAATATATGGAATGGATGTGGGGATATGGATTTAGGATGGATATGGGGTAGGAGATAGGGATAGGATGTGGGGGTATAGATATGGGATGGATTCAAGATGGTTATGGGGTGGATATGGGATGGGATTGCTATGAGATGGGGTTGTAGTGGTTATGGGGCCATAGGGGCTACGGGGCCAGAATGCTGTCGAGACATCTGTCTGCAGAGTTACCCCTGCGGTGTGAGATGTGCAGCTAAAACCTCAGGGAACACAGGCTTTGTTTGGACATCACGTTTTTGTAAGCATTGGGCGACTTTGCTCATCATCCTGCCACCCTGCTAGTTTGGCATGGCAGGAAATGGCAAATCTATTTTGCTCAGTTCTGTTTAGCAGCAGTTTAAGAAATAGGCAAAAAATTAAGCAGGGACCTGATGATAGATTTGCAGATGACAAGATTCACACTCGCTCACTGACAGGACATCCCATATCAAACCATGAGAGTGCAGATGCTCTCATGCGTGAACACACACACAAACACGCAAAACAAGTGTGGACAAGTGAACTATCTCAGCACCTACTGCTGTGAAACGAATGCATGTCGTTAAAACAGATAAGGAAGGAAGGAGGTGGATGGAAGAAGAGCAAGCTGGCTTCTGCTTACAGTTTGCCTCCACCTGTTTACAGCAAATACAACAGGTCGCCATTCCTCATCAGGTCGTAATCCAGGCTGACTCCAGTGGGCTGACTTTGCCCTGCCCTCCATTGGCGGACAGCCTCGAGGATTTGGCAGTACCTGGGAGGCATCCCTACCAGAGGAGAAGCCCATCACAACCTCCGCCACCTCTCTGGGCAACCCGTCCCGGTGCTCCCCCACCCTTACCTTAACAAAGGTCTTCCACATGCCTGCATGGCACTTCCCGAGTTCAAGTTCTAGGCCACTGCTTGCTGTCCCACTGCTGCACACCACCGAGAAGAGCCTGGCTTCATCCATGTTCCTCCCACCTGCCCTCAGGTACTGGTCAATGTTAACACTCGCTAAGAATCTCTAATTGCAGGGTCTGAGATGATGGAGATCTGCCGGGTGCTTTTCCACACTGGCCCCCTTGGATGGCCAAACCTGGCTCTTTCCACCAGTTGCACAAACCTGAGCACTTGCTGAACTCACCCATTGCAAACTACCCCCATGGGTCGTGATTTGTGTCCAGGTGCACCAGGCTGCCAGGAGATGAGTGACTCCAGGATCGGCCACGGGCAATGGGACACGAGGCAGAAGGCAGGGACAATCAGGGCATCCCCTAATGCCCTTATTCACTGCTGTTTGCTACCCAGGTGCAAGCAGGGGCGAGGTACAGAAGGAGAACCTTCACGTACTGGTCCTCCACCTTTTGTCCAAGTGCACCAAGCACTGGGAGGCCTGGCAGAAGGGGAGAACGTGGGGCGTGGGAGTTGCACCGCCACAGCTGATACAGGCACTCCAGCCTTTAGCTAAGGACTGCCCCAGAAACCAGTGCTCAGACTCCAAAGGAGCCCAACGCTGAGTTTTACCAAGTAGAGAAGGAAGAAGCACGAAGTTTAAGCCTTGCACATGGACAAACTTCTGTGCCAGAAGTTCTTGGTTCTTTTCACAGTGAAGGAGGCCAGCCAGAGGATGCATGGCAGCTTGACTCTGATCAGCAAGGAAAGAAGGAAAAACGGAATGCAAACACGGCCAACTTCTACCAGTTCAAATCTGCTTCAAGACTCGTTGCAAAATCTCAGCTAGAAAAAGTGTCACCTCAACAAAAAAGAAAAAGAACAGCGCTGCTTGTTAGTTTTTAAAACTATTTTTTAATATACGATAAAACCAAGCAGTCACGCTGCCAGTCATCTCAGATCATCCCATGAGGAGCTCATCCACATCCTGCTCACGCTTCACTCAAACATCAAGTGGAGCGGGGGGTCGTCTTGCAGATGAAGTGAGGCAAGAATTGTGACAGGATGTTGCTGCATTATGGACTCTTTGCATCGACACAATCATCCGTTTCCAGCAGGAAATCACTGAGCTCGGGAGGCATCGTTGTGTCCAGCTCATCATCTGAAACCTCTGTAACCAAACTGGAAGGGACCAGCCCTCTCGTGCCATCCGTCAGCTCTCCCAGAAACCAGCCGTCCTCATCCACATCTCCAAAGACATAAACGTGCTGTCCAGCAGTCAGAGGAAGCTCGCTTTCTGGGTCCTCATTAGAACCCTCAAAAGGATGGTAGCTGTGGCGAGCTAAGAATCTTCGAACTCGTCCTGGGGAACAGAGGGTGAAGGGCAAATGCTCTGCCACTGATCCTCCGCTCTCACTTTCAGGGCCATCCTCTGACAGGAAGCAGCACTCACCCACACAGCACTCACCCAGAGGTCTGTTCCCACGGACCTCTTTCATGGCTTGGAGTTCACGCTCCAGGTCTTCCAGACGAGTCTGAACACCTCTGGCCTCTGGGATGGCAGAACGGAATGGACTGAAACTATTGCTGAGGTTCTTGTTTGCTTGGGCAAGGATCTCTCTCGTTGCTTCTCCACTCTCCACTTCATCTCCAGCTGGAATTCCCTCCCAGCCAGTGTCAGGATGAGCTCACTCTGCTGCTCTCTCTCCCCTCTTGCACACACTGAAAATGAGTTTCAGAAAGCCCTACTCACTGACAGGAAATAAGGGCAAACTTGGAAGACCTTGCGACATAAATCGTGACAGCGTACTGCCAGCAGCTGATTCAGCTGCCCAGGATCCTGGCACCACAAAAACTTCATTGCCAAATGCAGCAATGAAATGGTTGGGGGAAAGAGACAACTCACAGGCATTTGTTCCACGTCCGCGACACAGCGATGCAGGCCAGCGCCAGCGCAGACAGCAGCACAGCTGAGAGCAGCACCATCACTGCCACGTGGCGCTGCCGCACAGATCTGCCAACAGCAGCCTTTGTGCTTTTCCCTGCATTCAGCCCTGGAAGAAACGACAACGTCCCACCTTACCTTCACCTCATTGCCCTCGGGCCGCTTCGTTCCCAAAAGGACAAAGCTCACAGCCCTCTGGGAACTGGGAGCGGTGAGAGGTGAGCAGCATCACACAGGCCTTCTCTGGCACACGGCTGGCACAACTCCCCACACCCCACTGAGCTCAGCCATTTTCAGAGAGCTGCTCCTGGCCTCTTTTACAACACGTGCTCTGCGCTCACACGCTCAGGTTCAGCTGCTGACCTGATGTGCAAGAGCAGGCAGGAAGCGCCTGCTGGCACCCAGTGACTCTGGTGACACTGGACAGAAATCTCCTGGCATGCCAGTGGTTTGCGCTGCCTGTGTTCATCCCTTTAGAAAGACATAGGACAGTCGGATGAGATGTGTTCTCACATCGCACACCTGAGCTGACCCAACCTCGAGCTCAGGCCAAGTCTGCTGGCCTCCACCCCCCAAATCCACCTGCGACCTCCTCTGCTGCCACGGGCATTTGGGCACTCCCACGAATTGCAGGGTGCCTACCCTCTCACGCCTCCTGAGGAATCAACTCCTAAGCAAGGCACTCACACGCTGTGCTGTGAGCATCACCAACCACCACATTCCACCATCACAGCCAGGCATCTTGCAGGCTGAAATTCAAGCTCCAACAGGAACACCTTCAGAATCGACATCTGCACATGGTTTCTAGCATTAGCAATGGCAGCCATCCCTACTCGGGATGCTCATCCTGCCTTGAACTAGCCCAGTTGCAGGGAGGGCTTTGTATTAACAGAATCGCCGCACTTGACATTTGCTGCCATCTGGGTCTCCACAAAGCAGCTCTGACAAGTAATGGTCGTGCTGGGGGAGCAGCTGCCCCTGGGTCTTGGCTGGATGCAGAAGTGGCAGCAGACCATCTCTGGTGCTCCCCAGTGCCTGCAAGGCATCGCGTGGAACACCACTGCAGCACGGCTCTGAGCAATGCCCTCCTGCACACGGACATCAGGCCTCAGCTTCCCGAGTGAACAGACTGAAGTATACCCACCAAGAGCTGCCACGTCCATTTCCTTCAGCAGCTCTCACGGATGGTAAGACCCCTGGGAGAATTTCCCTCTGTTGGATTCATCCTTTCCCCTTTCCAGACCTGCATGGAACACATGAAGTTAAATGCCAAGAGCACAAGGTTTTGAAGACCAGCGCTGAGTCAACGCCATCGGTAAAACAAACCACCACCCCTGGGCATCCACCTGGGCTCCAGCACAGGAATGAACCAGCGACTGAGCAAAGCCCTCCCTGGGGGCACTTCTGCAAGCCATGAAAAGTTTCAGTCATGCACAACAGCATCGCTGAACAGCGGAGCGTATGGGGGAAGCAGTGCCATGAAATGGCACCGAAGCAGGCAGTGAGAGCTCTCCAAGGAGTTACAGAGCGGTGACTTACCCATGCCATCCGCCCGGGTTTCGGTCTCAGAGCTCAGAGGGGAAGCTGGATCACCTCCTCCACTCACATCTGCAAACAAACGCAGCACAGAGCAATTCTAATTAAACATCCAATCGGAACGACGCGGGATGCAATTAAAGCAGGGGATTCCTTCGTGACACTGCTCTCTCCCTTCCACACAGGAGCACCTCAGAAACAGTTCCCAGGTACACGCAGGGGCACCACGATCCTACAGAACTTACACCACGTGGGGCTGCCCAGAGGAACGCCCTCCTGGAGCTCAGCCCTCAGCTTGACTGCGTGGTGCCGCTGGCTCTGCACAAGGCACCGGGAGCAGCTCAGGGCTGGAGCAGCCAGCAAAGACGGCTTTGCAAGGCAGGCACTGCACTCTGCACACAGCCTGACCCGAACCTTCCCTTCTCTTCCACAGAGGAAGCAGGAAGTCACATGGCACTCGGAAAGAAAATTAAAGCCTGAATGAAAACTAACAGCTCTCAGGGACTCAGCTGGGGGATCGCCCCGCGTCTCAGGGACCGGATTGAAGCTGGGCTTTGGTCAGCCGCTGCCTGGAGACACGGCTGGAATCAAGGACAGCTGAGAGACATTCCCATGGCATGTGCCCACCTCTCTTCCTTACTGACATGCAGTGATGGAAGGGGCTCAATTAACGGCATGGGGCAAAAGCCCCAAAGCTGCAGAGAGGCCCGGTGACCTGATGGCTGGTATTCCACAGCTTTCAAAATACTTTCCCCAGGCCAAGGGAAACAATTCTCAGAGACCTCCCAGAACAGCATTCAGCTCCTTCCAATTGTCTCACTGGGAGATCTCTGAGATACAGAGGCAAAGCCAACACGACGCCGAGAGCACAGAGCACCCAGGAAACAACAACCCCCCATGCTTCCCCTGGAGAAGAACCCACTGGCCGGTGAAAAGCAGAACCCTTGCTGAACTCTCCCAGCCACACATGAACAAATATCAAGGAAACAAAGCCTGGTGACTTACCTCCAGCATTCCCCTCAGGCTCATGGACAGGATTCCGTTCTGATTCGCCAGCAGGGCCTGCAGGCACAAGTGTGATCAGACACAGGTGAGGAGAGCTTCCACTGCACGCGGGGGCCTCCTTTGTAACACTGGCAGACCTGTAAGATCTGGCGGTGGGTCACGGAATGGCACAGCCCAAATACGAAGCTCTGGGCTCTCTCAGCTGAAGAGGGGCAGCGGTGACCTTCCCACCGAAATGTGGCAGCTCTCTCAGCAAAGAAACACTCAAGGCTCATCTGTGCAAGCCCTTCAAGGCACAGACAGACTTGGAAGACCTTGCACCCGAGTAAACTACGAGGGCATGAGTGTTTCTGCCTTCTAGGAAACAGACACAACTTATCTCTGGGTTGTGCCTTGGGCACAGGTGTGAAATCTGGATCCAGGAGGTCATCCAGAAAGACAGCACCGAGCTCATCATCTAGAATCAAGAACAGACGAGAGAAGGACCCACTGCACGGCGTGATCTCCTTCCCCCGCAGTAACTGGATGTGGGTCGTGGGACAGGCTGGGAGAAGGACTCGGGTCCCGATTTCCAAAGTTGCAGAGCGGCCAGGATGAGCTGCAGGCTGGCACCTGGCAGGGCACACAAGACTCCCTCCAGGCCACGTGCCGCATCCCTCACAGACCACACGGAAGAAGATGCAGCCCCTCGGGGCTTTCTTACTGGGAAGGCTCTGATGCACACAAAGGAAGGCTGCACCGAAGCCCTGGAGGAAAGCACATCTGTCTCCTCCTCTGGGCTGTGGGCCGGGGCTGTGTTGGAAACTGGGAGTCATCTATGGGGAGTACCACAAGCTTGGGGCAGAAAACGCTCTTGCGTCTCCAGCACACATCTTCTGAGCTCTCCCCAGGACGCCTCCCTCCCAGGATGAAGGCTGTGCTCCAGCCAGCAAGCAGCAGAGCCACGGCCCGACCTGGCGGCACGGCTGGAGCCAGGCCTGGGGAGCAGCGCTGCCCAGCTGCTCCTGCCCGGCTCCTGCGGTGCAGCCCGTCACCCCCTGCCCAAACCCCCAACCCCTGCCCCGGAAGGCAGCCCCAGGGAAGAGTAGCACAGGGCCGTGGGGACACAGCCTGACTTCTCGCCCCAGTGCTGCTCAGGTTTGGTCCCGTCTCTGCCCACCCACCTGCTCCCGGTGCTCGCCATGGAGCAGCGCACATCTCCCTTAAGCACACAGCCATCAGGAGGAAGAGGAAGACAAGGCGGGCAGGGGCCATGGTCCCCCACACTCGCACCATGCTTTCACCACCACCGCCACAGCCACAGTGAGTCGCACAGAGCGATGCCTGCGGCACGGCGTCACAGCCAGGCATTGAGAGCTCAGCACAGCAGAGCACAGGGCACCGCGACCTCACAGCTCTGGGATGCCGGGCAGAGGCTCCCCACGGGCTGCTCCGCTTGTGGTGCACTGCACCAGGGTGGGGGATTGCATCACAGGAACGCAGAACAGCGGAATGGGTTGGGCTGGAAGGGACGGTACAGAACTTAGAAGCTCAACTCCGATGCCCTGGGCAGGGATGCCTCCCACTGGGTCATGCTGCCCAGCCTGGCCTTGAACAGCTCCAGGGATGGAGCAACCAGAGCTTCGCTTGGCAAACTTTTACAGTGACACCACGAGGGCGTTATTTCCAGTTCGGGGCCCCCGTGACACCACGGGCCATTAAGAAAGAGATGCCGTACGGAAATGGGGTCTGGATCAAGGATGCTATAGCACAAGTTGTCCATGCACGTGCAATGGGTAAAGCCTCTCCAGCATGGAGAACGATGGCTGAAATATAAACACAGGGAGGCTGACCTTCCCACAAACCCGCCATGGGAAGCGCCATGTGCTTTCCTTTTTGTTGGTAGATCTGCAGTTTCATCCATTTTCCTCCAGTTTTCCAGGACCTTGGCTGAGGACATCCCCTTCCTACACCAGATCTATTTCCCATTTTTAGCGTGCTCCCAAGCCTGAATTTAGGAGTGGAAACTGAAGGCTCGCTGGTTAGCACCTCCCATCCCCACAGTCCCAGTGAACTCATCCACTGCTGGCAGCCGGGTGCTTTGGGGCAGGGGCTCTGATGGCCAGCACCTGCAGGCTCCCACCCAGGGCTCCAGAAACCGTTGCAGCAGTGGAGCTCCTGTCACCTTGTGCTGAAGGAATCATGCCGCTGCCCCTCCAACATTCTCAGTTCAAGCTTTGACTTCTGCTTTCAGTGGATCAGTCTGTCCTTCACCCTCATTTATTTGCAGTTCTTGAGACTTACGGCTCAAGGTGAGCATCTCTGAAGAAGAACCTTGTTACTCTCAATCCCACAGTTTTTATGAGTTGCCACAACCCCATCCTTACACAGTCCCAACTCAAATTGTCCTTTTAACCAATCCAGTTTTCTGTGCCTGGTGTCTCTCCCTCTTCATTCCCCCTCTCATCCGGTTATTTCCATGGATTAGATAAAGACATTTTGATCACAAAAGAGCGACAGCTGGCCGCGTCCACTGTGCCGTGGCCATCACTAATTGCCTTCAATCAAGCAGAGCTTTCAAACAATACCTTAGAGAACAAAAGCAGCAACTCGGCATATTAGCAGGAAAGAAATCAAGCTTGACTTCCCCCTATAAAACAAGTGCAGAACGCTGCATTAGAAAATACCCAGGCTCCTAAATCAATGGACCTGGGTGATTCAGAAAACAAAGCTTCAAAGTTGGATCTCAAAGCTCCACCTGAGACAAACCCCTTTGAAATCCAACCTATGATACCATAAAAATACAACACCAGGACGAAAACCATTATTAAGAGACTGGCTGATGGCAGCACACCGCGTTATTGGGCCTGACAAGGTCACTACACCATTGCATACAGGTTTACGATCCTCCACGGAGGACAATAAGACAAAAAAAAAAGATTAGAAGGAAAAACAATAATAAAATACAAAAAATACAAAAAAAGAACAAACAAAAAAATCCAAAGCAAACACAAAAAAAAGAGAAATACAAAAAAGAAGTAAAGGCAGCAATATACAAGGGCAACAAACATTGGAGAGAAAAGCAAAAGAGCAGTAAAGAAAACGAAACCAAGTGAACAAAGGAAAGCAAATCAATGTGACCAATGAAGAAAGAGACAATAAACAGAAACAAAAAGAACTGAAACCAACCAGCAGAACAGCAAAGAAATAGGATTCAGTTCGATGGCAAAGCAAAGGTGACGAGAGACTGTGGTGCAGCCAAAAGCTCAGCATCTGTGCTGGCAGGAGGAAAGGGCAGCTGCTGGGTGTGCTGCACCTCCAGCAGAGATGCACTTCGTCAGCCAGCGCCCATGGAGGAGTCCACAGCCGTCATGAGGACAAACATCTCTCTGGAGGAAGGGAAAGCGCTCGTTGTTGTGCCGAGGAGGAGCTCAGGGCAGCTACCGGGCGTGGACCCTGCAGCCAGCAGAGGAAAGCCTCGAGTCCGTCTCGAGGAAAGAGGCGAGGACACCCAGGAGGCGTGCAGCCGGCTGTGCGTCGAGGAAGTGTGTTTCCTTTGCAGCGCCTGGTGTGGCGCCGTGCCCTGGTTCCGTCAGTGCCATCCTGCAGGCTGTGCATCCTGCTGTGCACAGTGCAGTGCTGCGGAGCTGTGCCTGCCGGCCCTGTGCTCTCCAGCACTCTCGTGTGAGTTCCACCTCTCCCAGAAATCTGTTCCCAGGAACCTCCGCTGCTCCCTTGCACACAGAGCTGTGTGCACATAGTGTGCAGAACCACACACCACGTGCAAAGACTTCCCTGCACACACAGCTGTGCGTTCACACACACATGCAAGCACATCCTTGCACAGCCCTGTGTGCACACTGCATCCACGTGCATGCAAATGTGTGAAAAACCACACAGCCTTGTGCAAAGACCTCGATGCACACAGCCGTGTTCACGCACACACACACGTGTGCAAACCCATCCCTTTGCACACCTGTGAGCATGCAGTCAAGTGCCAACACTCGTGCAAAACGCACATTCACCTGCAAACACTGCACACAGCCACGTGCCGCCGCGCACGCTCTGATGTTCAACACATCGTGACGCTCGCATGGCACAGCCAACATGCAGACAGTGGGAAATGCCAGGAGGAAAGATGCCCCGCTGCGCTCCATTCTCCTCTCTGTAATGAAGGCACTGGGGCGCAGCTGAAGCCCATCCTCAGACGCGGGTTGCTGCACGGCTGGGCGCTGCGGGCTGAACGCGGAGCCGCCGTCTGAGGAACGCCGCTCGTGGGCCGGAACCGCCGCTGACCAATGAGAGGCACGAACGGACCGGAAGTGCCCCTAACCAATGAGAGGCCGGGGACGGGCCGGAACTGCTGCTGGCCAATGAGAGGACGAGACACGGCAGAACAGCTTTGGTTCGTGGCTTGCTCGTGCTCTTCTGTCTCACCTGAGGGAAAAGCAGAAGCAGCTTTGTGGAGAATGGTTCCTCACAGCTGCTGCCACATCCTTCACAGGTGGAAATGGAAAGAGAGCCCTCATCCCACTCACTGGTCTTGGCCCCCGCTCCCCAGGGAAGCTGCAGCGGCCATAGGCTTCATGGAGCAGCTCTGCCTGCACTCTGTGTGTGTGCAGCAGCTCAGGATACCAGGCCTGGCAACGACAGCCTGGGCGCCTCTGGGCAGCTCAAGCAAAGAGGCTGAGAAGCAGTTCGCTTGGTCAGTCTGAGGCTACAGAAGCAAAGGTCATCACCTTGGGAACAGAAAGATCCTCTTCCAAGGCATTTTCAACAGTTGTCCCACTGGGAAGCTGTCATAGGGATGGAGGAGCAGAATAGAGCTGGCAGCTCTTACAGGATGCCTGTCTGTTCCCACATATAAGAAATGAAGCAGAGGAGAGAGGAAACCAGCATGGCTGGTTTGACCTGCTGATCAAACGGGGGGAAGGAAGAAACATATCGTCAGTGGAAACAGGGATGGATGGCCTGAGAAGAATATGGGGGTGCTATCTGGACATGTAGAGATGGGACCAGGAAAGCCAAGGCTGAAATGGAACTGAACTCTGCGAGGGATGTGGATAATAACAAGAAGGGTTGCTTTAGATAGATTGATCAGAAGAGCCTGGCAAAGGAGGCTGGCAGATAGTGACAGCACAGGGAGGAGTGGCTGCAACTGAAAGAGGGGAGGTCTGGGTTAGAGGTTAGGATGAAATTCTTTAGTCAGAGGGCAGTGTCCCCTGGTGCTGCTGCCCAGAGCTGTGGGTGCTCCATCTCTGGGGGTGCCCAAGGCCATGGCTGGGGCCCTGGGCAGCCTGAGCTGGTGGGGGGCAGCAAGCCCGCAGCAGAGCTTGGGACTGGTCCCTTCTAACCCAGCCATTCTATGGTTCTGTGTTGCCCTGCTGTCTGGGCATGGAAGCACTGTGGCCTTGGCATGGCATGCAGTGGGGGGGGACAGGGGGAATGGCTGACTGGGAGCAGGGCAGCAGTCAGCTCTTGTCTGAAGGTGTGTAAGGGAAGGGGAGCAGGAAGGAAGGGGAAGGGGAATGTCCACACCTCTCCTGTTCTCCTTAAATCTGTCCCCTACTCTGGATGGAGTCACACTGTGCTCTGAGTGCCGCAAGGAATGCGTGCAGCTGTGAGGGGACGGAGCTGTGTGTGTGACAGGGAGTGCAGCTCCCAGAGCCAGGCTGGGGGGCAGCCCATGTCGCATGGGGCAGCTCCTGAGGCTGCCGGGGGTCCTGGTGTCACTGGTTGGAGGGATAAAACCCGTGCTCATCATCTGAGTCACAGAACACGCAGAGTTGGAAGTTAGGTCCACACGGATCCCTGAGCTCAACCCCTGGCTGCACACAACACTGCTCAACCGCAAACCTTATGGTTCCAGTGTGGGGCTGTGCTGTGCCTGCTGCCCTCTGGGGCACAGCCTGCCCCTAACCCCCCACCTCTCCCCCTCCTCACTCCCCCAAGCAGCCCCATGCAGTCCCCTCGGGCCCTGTTGTCGCTGCCAGCAGAGAGCAGAGCTCAGAACTGCCCCTCCACTCCTCCACTCCCTGTGAGGGGCAGTGGGACGGCATGGGGCTTCCCCTCACCCTCCTCTGCTCTGTGCCAAACCTCCCAAGGGACCTCAAGCTGCTCCTCACACCCTTTGCCAACTTACAGACCAATCAGACAACATTATCATAAAGTGTTTATTTTTTTAAATATCAAATTTATTTTACACATCAATTTTGTTGATAAACAGACCCTCAATATTTAAAAAAAAAAAAATCAAAAAAAGAATCAAGTGTGTATTACTTTGGGCAGAACCACATCCCATTTCCTGATGACACAAGCATGCTCCCCTTCAGCCACCTGCAAGGACAACTGCAGTACGTTCAGCCCAGAACAGTAAATGACACAAACGCAACCAGCTGTAGGATTCCTGAGAATTGATTCCCTCAAGTTCCTTACGTGAGTTTGTAAAAGTCTTAAGCTAAAAAGCATCAGTCAAGGAGTAACCCAAACCACTGTGCATTTGGATCACCAACTAAGCTACATCTACACAGTGCAGGAAGAAATCTGTTGAACAATGTACACCAAACTGACCCTATTTCCCAAGCTGGTCTCCAAGAGAGGATTGCAAAAGGCCTCTTTGAATTAATGTTCGATTTCTGTGGAGCCGTGTGGCAGTCAGTCCAAGTCTGGTGAAGAAACCCCGGGGATGCGTTCCTTCGTTTGATCATTAATGGCACAGTGTCTGAAAGAAAACTTAACCAAGTGAAATATTGCTACTTCTGAGGAAAGGAGACAGCAAGGGGTGAGGACAGAGGGAGAAAGAAGGAACATCTCTTGGAGGCACAAGGTTAGCAGTCCTTGAGCCCAAGTGTCCACACAGAAAGTCAAGCACAACGAGCAACGCAGCAGAGATTGTCACAATAACAGCACAGCTCCACTCGGCCAGGAAACGTCCCCTCCTGCCAGACCGCTCCGTGCCCAGAGACTGCCAGGTATTATGTCAGTGCTCATCGCCTCTGAGCTTGCCTGCAGCCTCACGTACAGGAGTACGCACAAAGAGGCCCAGGAGATCCCCTCAGTCTCTCAGGCAATGGTTATCCTCTCAGCAATTGTTCAGTATGTAACCACAGGGCATGCAGGAAATACCCAGAACACGCTCAGCAGACCCAGGGTGGTCACCACCTCATAGGGAAATCATTCTGCCAAGCTGAGGTGACAGCTTAGTGCAGAGCTCTGATGAATGAAGAGAGCGTAAAGAGCCCGATTTGAGCACAGAGTCCATTCACTCAGCTGCTCCGAAACCTGGGCAGCTCTCGGCATCACATCCTTACCCCTGCTCCAGCCAAAAAGCGTTTGTGCCTACCACACAAATAAAGACACACTCCCACTCTGCTGGCCAGAGGAGAGCCTGGTGAAGGGGTTGCTAAAGGCTGGGCCAAGGATGCGTGCACAAAGCAGGGACACACACTGAAACAGAAGACAGCTTCTAGACAGCAATCGCTCTTGTATTTAATTTTAACTAAGATACTCAACTCCACCCAGATTTTCTCTAATGTAAATCCTGCTTCTGAAAAGCCAAAATCACCGTCTAATCCGGCAGCACACAGCCATTCGCTCAAAGCAAGGCTTTGTGGAATGCAAAGATTTAGATCACCGGGCTCAGAACAACCTGATAAAAGTATTCATCAGCTGGGGGGGGTCAGGTTTTGTTTCTAGCAGTTCAGAGAAAGTTACAGCAGAAATTCTAGCAGTATTGATAAGTGCTTCAGTACAGCTTTGGCAGGGCAGATTTCAAAACCTTTATTTGACAAAGAATAAAACTGAGCACTGAAGTGAGTTGGCCGATGCTCTAAAGCCTTTACAGCACAAATTCTGTATATGCAGTCTAAGTAAACATGGCCATAAAACTAGAGACTTTAACCAATTTGGTGCAAAGCAGCAGTTCTTCACCTAGCTATTAGCAATTGCTTCCAAAAACATAAACGTGTAAATACGAGCAGGGTGTGACATCGAATGGCTAACAATGATGCTTCAAGGAGCTGGCAGCCCTTGAACCCGCAGGCATCCTGGAGGGCCAACCTGCAGCCGTGCTGGTGGTGCACAGCGCACACGTCGGAGCTGGGGCTCACGCTGAGACCCACGGCACGAATCAGGAGCAGAAACACGGCTTCCAGGGAGGAGGCTCTGGAGCTGAGCTCTACTCACAGTTTTTGGTAGTGAATCAGATGTGAATAGGCCTAATATTGAAATCTTATTTCCTAAAGCTTCTGGAGAGATCTGATGACGCTGTCTGCACTCCTATAGCAGTCCAAGCATTACCCCGTGCAGAACAAGATCTCGATTATTTGGGGCGCTCACTGCAGAGTACCAACAAGCTTCACCTGGGGCCAACTCTCGCTACGGCACAGAGATCACACAGCTGTGATCCTGCCTCACTAACAGCTCCTGAAGGGAGCCTGCAGGAATTACCCGATGCTGCTCAGGAGAGGGGTTCCCAAAGAGCCAAACACTGCTCCCGGTGCAAGCGCAGAGCAGTGCCTGCTGCTGAGACCACCAGCAGTGGGATATAAGTGAAGTGTGTCTGGGGACAGCGAGCCTCACTGGTGCACCCACAACTCAAGCAAAAGCTGCTTCCAACAGAGGAATGCCTTACAGCTCTTCAGAAAATAACGGATATCTTGGCTACCCAAGCACCTAAGAAAGATCTGATGACCACCACTCAGACACACAACTCTGCAGGCCCACAAATGAAACCAAATTTGTGCTGTTTTTAAACGCTACCCTATATGAAAGAAAAGCCTGGCATACACATAGGAGAACCTGCTAAGGAGCAGGGAAAACAAAACACCAGGGAGAGGTCTGGGACAACAACAACAACCGAACGACGGACAAGTCATGTTTCCAGCACTGCCCATCAGTCACTTCAGGTCAGCTCCAAAGCAGAAAGTTTAAGCTTTCACAGGGAGCCATTCCAGAGTTTCATGAGTGAGATTAAGTGAAAGTTCCTACTTAAAATTTGGTATCACATTTCAACATGCTTTCCTTTCCCAACCCCAGGAGTATTTTGAGGCTCTGCAAACCCCCCGAAGTCGTTCACTTGAGAAAAAAGCATCTGGTAATGGCTTCCTACAGCACAGCCTCAGCACGTCCTGCTCAGGCAGGCTGCTCCCCAGGGACCTCCTGGAAGGCCAGGATGCTGTGACACGGGTGCCATGGCAGCGCGTGTTCCATAAGCCCCACCTGGGAGCCCTCGCTCTTTAGGAGGTATTCAATTAGCAGCCCATCAGGCACTGCAGCCTTCTGCAGTTTCTGAGAGGCTGATCATCCCCAAACATCCAGATAAACTAGTGCAAAGCAGATTTCTTCATTCTGCTGATCACAACCCCGTGCAGCACGCAGAGAAACCATTTTCCAAGGATAGATGCAATTAAAAGCCATGACATGCAGTTGCTTTGTTATGAGGTTTCATCATCAAGGTTTTGCCTCAAGTGGTTGAGCTCGTTCTTTTGTAGAGAGGAGCAGGATATGGGCAATGTTAAGGAAAAAAAAAGGGTAAAATACTCTTTTCCCCTTTCTACTTCCCCTCCCCACCTACAACTGATATCAGCACATCTTCAAGTAAGTCAGTACATCTCTTAGTTCTTCTAGAACCAAATTCTCTCCCTCCCCTTTTTCTCTCCATCCTCTCTCTCCACAATGTAAACTTAAACACAACAGCCCAGGAGCACAGAAGGGTTTGTCAAAAGCAGCCACCAGCTCTCCCCACGCAAACACAAACCCACGCTTCCAAAAACTCCTGACACCCTCCCATTCCTTCTGCAAAGTTTTACACACCTGTAGGATCTGCCACAATTGTTTCATTAGCATCACAGACATTTGGTTGTAAGGTGTAGGGGAGAGAAAACAGCACTGACCCCAAAAGCCCATTTAGAGCAGTTCTGCATCTGTGTCACAGCAGATTCAGTGCCTGCACAACTCCGCGTGCGCCACCGCTGCACAGCACAACACTCAACTCACGTCACAATTCCTCTGTGCTGGGCAGGGCAGTGATCTCAATGGCTTCTGCCATTCTGTTATTCGTAACACTGGAGCTTATTCAAAAATTTTGCATTTAAATAAAAACATGAATTTTAATCCAGTAAGTATAATCAAAAGCTGTCCCATCCACGCAATACGAGGACATTTTCTTTCTTTCAAAAGGCCAAATCCAACAAGCGAAACAGAACAGACACGTTACTTTGGCTGCAAATAATTAAAAACTCTGGCTCAACATTCTGCTTGCACGTTACAATGTGTAATTTAGATATGTCTTAAGACCCACTCTTCCACAGTTATGTAGGAACGACAATACTCTTGGCTAGCAAAATGAGAAGAGCAAGATCTGCATTCCCATCTGCTTGTTCCAGGGCCTCCAGAGCTTCTCGCGTGGTAAAGCCAGCACCAAGGATTCGATCAACATCAGCTGCAGGGAAAGCAGGAGGTGAAGCAACCAAGGGAAGTTCAGTGGACTCAGCAGGTGGACCAGGCAGTGGTTCCTCACAGCCACCCCATGGTGCTGGGCCGTCAGGAGCAGAACTGCTGCTTCCCTCAGGTGCTTTTGTGAGTGATGCCTGAGTATCTTGAGATGTACCTTCACCCAAAGCAGGCTTAGAGGAAACAGTGTTCTGTTCCAAAGGCGGACACTGGAACCATTCTGGCAAAACCTTTGCCTGCTCAGAGCTCTCCTGTTGGTCAGATGTCCCTGCAGTCGAATCATTATCTGAAAACTCTGGAATTTCTGAGGCGTCTTCTCCAGGAGCCGATTCCATGTGAGTGACAGACCCAACACCAACGTTTTCTGTGCCAGAATCACAAGGCTGGCTCCCCTCTGCTTTTCCACCTTCATATCTCACATTAAAGGAGGAACTACTCTGTTGCTGGCCATTTGGATCTGACACTATCCACTCATCTTCAGAAAACCCCTTCTGTTGTACTTGCTCTTTGTGAACCATTTCCAGCTGAGAGACTTGAGATGTAAGAAGTTTACATTCTCCTTTACAACTGATCAGGAGTTTGTGAAGCTCTTTCAAGGCTGATGCAAGAGAGAAACATGGCTCTTCTAAATGTCTACCCAGATCTGTGTCCTGTTGATGAATGATGGAGGGGGAAGAACTGTGTTCAGCTGTTGAACTGGACAACTCATTACACTTTGTGGGGATTCCACTGGTGCTTTTAGACTGCAACACATCAGAGGTGGAAACTGCATCACTCAGGGAAGTTGCAGACTTCAGTGACTCCACTTCCATAGAAGAGGCATCTGAGTTCAGGTCAGATGCCCTTCCATTTTTGGCTTGCCACTTCTGCTTGCTTGCTGAGATGTGCACTTCAGCCACAGAGTGCTCAGTTGTATCCACTTCCATGTGCACATGACAGGATGTTTGGATACACCCCTTCACACAGGAAAGATCTGCTTTCTCCAGTCTACCTTCTCTCATTTCTGCAGGAAGACTTCCTGGCTGACTGGCTGGATGGCCCTCTTCTTCCACAGCAGGTTTCTCGACCCCACCAATGTTGCCAGGATGTTCTGGGTCAGTTTTGTCAGTTTGTTTCTCCAGATGCTCAAACTTCTCTGGCTCTTTGCACATCTGATGGTTTATGGCAAACTCATTCTTCTGTTTTGGTTCCTTTAGTTCTGAAGGCAGAGATGCATCTTCTATTTGCCCAAGCTTAGTAGGGCTGTCAGTCAAACTATTTTCTTTTGTCACTTTCAAAAGAGGTTCCTCACCACAGCCCTGTTCTATTGTGTTACATTCCATTAGACTGTCAGCAAGAAATGTTTCTTGAAGTGTTTTCTGTGAAAGGCAAGCTGGACTGCAAGAATTCACCTCCTCTGTCTGGAGAGAGCGGTCATTATCTGCCAAGGAAGAGTTATTGGGAAGATGCTGTAACACAAGAGGATGATCTTTTTCTGGGGTGATCCAGCATTCAGTTGAAGACTCAATTGACTTGACGGCTCCAGGATCAGTGGGCTCTGTGAGGCTAGGTTTGGATAAGCAAGTTGAAGCAGGGGCAAAGACAGATCGATCAAGTAACTGATTTGTGGGATTACAGATCTTAGAACTTAGTCCTGAAGACTGGACTGGATTTTGAAACCCATCAGAAGCTGGTAATGAGGGCATTTCCAGTGAGGTAGTTTCTTTGTCACTATTCTCTATACATAGATAGGGAAAAAAAAGAAAAAGTAGTTAGGACACAGAAGCAGCACTATTTCCTCAGAATCACAGAACTGTAAGGGTTGGAAGGGACCTCTAGAGATCATCAAGTCCAACCCCCTACAAAATAGGCTTCCCTACAGCAGCTTTCACGTATCCATGCCTTTAGAATAAAAGCTAAAACAACAGTTTACGTATCAGCTTGGCATATTACCTCCACCTGGGCATCACTAACCAGAGCACCACTCTATTTATAACACCAGTTACTGCAAGAAGTTGCTGGACAGTCCCGAGTGCTCTGAGAATAAGCAAGTGTAAATCCAGAACTACATTCCAGCTGCAGACAATTCATTACTGACAACAAAAGACAAAAAGCCAGTTCTAGGGTAATTAGAGAGCTCACAATTAGGGGATATTTAAACTTCAAAGTGAGCAATTATATCACTGAGAAGATGATGAAATCCCAACATCTCTGTTTATTTTTCATAGCAGAGCAAGATCTAAATTCCTCTTTGCAATATAGAGAGCAGGCTTCAATGGGATGCTTGTGCACAGTACTACATAGGAGTGCTTCATAGATGGCTTGCACAAGCTAAAAATAAGTTTAGGTTTTCTTTTAGCCTATTTCTATTAGCCATAACCTTCTCTTTAAATCAAGATCATAGGCTTAAAAACCTCATTACTTTTACATCTGCTTAATCAGTGCAGCTGCAACAATGGCAGCAAAAGGCATCCAGAGAAGCAGTTTTTCTTCTCCAGCATGTTAAGGCACATGATGATTAGAAAACAAGATATCCAGAGGTCAGCAAACATCGTTCGTATGATGTCAGCTTGAACTGAAACTGTGGATATGAAATTACCTGGGGAAGCTGTAACATAATGGCTGCATTCACCAGTACGCCGCTTCGAGAAAGCAGTACACAAATACCCATCTAACAGCATGGTGGTATTTAAGCTCATCAGATCCACTGCAAACTTATATTAGGACATAAGTTTTGGAGCAGGTTCCAGTGGTTTGTTTCTGTGTGTATGTGTGTACGTGTTGCACATCAGTTCCCTGAACTGTCAAAGAATTCATTGCCTCTGCTCAACTGAGGCTGAGGCTGAGGCAACAGAAGTGTTTTAGGTAAGAAACAAACATTGCTTGGAAAGCACGGGATGGAAGGTCAGAGTCACAGGACTCTCCTTTGCACGAGCAGAGGGCCCCACCTTTCCTCATACATGCAACCCAGGTTTGCTGCCTTTGGCCAAGCAAAGCAGGATGTTCTCTCACACTCTTAAACAGGTTGGTAACTTCACATCACGTGGGTTTCACCCTAGGAGCTCAGAGGGAGGATGGTCTTGCTGCGAGTAGTGTGAACGTTGTAGTGAAAGCTTATGAACTGATGTCTATAAATACCTGGTCTGTGGCCCACTCCAGCTGCAGTAAACACACACTACATGCATCAAGGCTTCTGACGTTCTGTTTGGATTAGGAAACAAACACACCAAACTCGTGTTAGCATTCAGAGCTCAAGACATGCATGGTTATAGTCCTACAACATTGCAGCTCCCCTCCCAACCATCCATGAAGACAGCACATGAGCAGCAGGGGCTCCTCACGTTCCCCAGCTTCCAACAGCAGGTCTGCTCAGGCAATTCTCTATATCAAGTCAAAAACAGCCCTGCTGAAGAACAGTTGAAAGGTTGTTCTGCATTACGTACACTGCAGAGCGGTCTGTGAGCGACACGCACACCTGACAACATATTTGCAGCACAGGGAAGATGTCCAGTGTGCTTGTTTGTTCCCTGTACAGCCACATTCAGGAGACATGCTTCAGTGAAACAAGACATGAAATGGCATCTCAGACCACACTCCCAGCTGCGACTGCCTTGCAGGGGATCATGCCAGCACAGGCAAGAGAAGATGAGCAAACATCAGCTTGCTGCAAGTGGGAAACAAAGATCATAGGGCAGAAATGCCAAAAAGGAATTGCTTCCTGAGGCACTGAAGAACAAAGCAAAGAAATAGACAAACTGAAGTCAAAAAGCTCACTGCTTCCTACTCCATATGGAGGACAGATTAATTGCAGACCGCTACAGACCACTACACACTGGGTCTAGGCATCAAGCTAGACTGAAGAAGTGAGCGTGTCTTGCTAATGGTCTAGTCTTGCTAACATATCAGCTCTCATGTTGTTGTTAAATCACCAACTTGACCTTTGCTGAAAGAGCATCCGTTCTTCCATTAAAGTTCTACTCTGTTCTGTGTCGTATACTCAAACAGCTGTTCAGATTGTGCTGGATGATTTGTTGCATATGCTCCCCTTCCCTCCCAAAGGTCTCCAAACTCAAAGGTCCCAAGAATATACAACCGCTTAACCTCAAGTCCTTCTCTTTTTACAGATATCCAGGAGTACTGGAGAGCACTAACCCTGCTCACGTACAGCCAGGACATGCCTCCTGTTCCGTGTCATGGAAGAAGACAACCTTTTTCACCTCAGGTACTTGCTTCTTTTGTTCTCCATGGGATACAAACAGTGTACTGAATGCTGCGGTACCACACCTCCCATCAATACACGCTGTGCGCCTGCTGCTGCACTGTGTACCACAGCAATCTTTTCTCTCGGTTGCACATCTGACTTTAATGAAGCTACAACAACTTGACAATGTTGGCATATTTAAAATCCAGCATTATCCTGCACATTTTCAGACTGCTCGTCTTTGACATGGGTGGCAAAGAGGCTTGAGACACAGAATACAGATGAAAACAAGAGAGATCTTTTTCTATGCAGCAGTACTATGTTTGAGCTCTCTTCCAAGCCAGTACCACAGAGAGGAAACAGAATGGTCTTTTCACTCTGTATTCAGGGTCATCAGGGAGTGACAGCCACTCCGATGGCAGAAGCAGCTGGTATGCTGCCAAGCACTTCTCAGCTCTTGCTGAGACTCACTGTCATCCTCTTCCCAAAGGAGCTGAATCCCAGCCTCACCAAGGATACCATCCAGCTAACACCAGGAACAAACTCCTCTCCACAAAGTGCATCATCAGGGATAGATTCCTCTCTGTATCAGGAAAAGTCTGAGTCACACACGAAAGGCGATGCTTTTCTTACATCAAGGCTGCCTGGATGAGAAGCTGCACGTGGGATAAGCTCTTGAGAACTCTGATCACATACAGAGTGATTTCTGTATCACTCGAGCTGCTATGGAAGATCACGGGCCTTGTGGGAAGCTGAGGTTCCTTGATGCTGCTCTCTTTCTCCCCCTCTCCTGTTTACAGGCCTTTCTCTCGCTTTTTTCTGGTGCCATCTAGCAGCAGTTAATAGTTTTGGAAGAGAGCAAGAGGGTCTGAGCTCACATTTTGACATCTCAGAATACAGCTAACAAGATTCCTGCAAACCAAAGGCTTGTAAGAGGACCAAGGCTTGCATATAGTCCATCTAAACAAGACCTACCTTAATTTTGTGCATTACTGTTCCACAGGTAAGTAAGCATACAAAATCAATTTCCTATTGTCATAAACCTTTTAAGTTTCTCCAGGGCTCTCTAGCAATGGAAATGGTAGACTGCTGATCAGTCTGAGCAAAAAGTCTCTTTGTTTTTAGAACTGTATTGGTATACAAGCAGCTTTAAGTCATTTTAGACACTTCTCATCTCAAAGCACTCGCCTAAAATGCTGTAATTACAGAGACACATTGTTTCAGATGAAGAGGTCTGCTTTCTGACTGATCCTTTCACCAGAGTACTAAGTCCAACCAACTACAATGCCTGCAATTTTAACTGGAGAAGAGCTGATCTCCACATTTTCCAGGTTTTGTGAAGAGACATGAGCCCAATCCAACGAGCCTGACCTCTAGGGATGTCAAAACTCAGCAGAGAAAGGACAAATTTCTATTTATCCTCTCTACTTGCTGGAAGTTAAATTAATAAGCATTCAAAGACTGGCTTAGAAAGTCAAAACGTAACTCATTTCTTGCTGGTATACTCAAGTCTGGCCTTCCTCTGGAGCTTTTCTATCTGTGGGAAGCTTACATGCCTAAAATAGAAGAAAATAATTCAAAAGGATGTGTGCTCTTCTTATGTAAGCCAACTGGTTATTTGCAAAAAAAAAAGAAAACATCACTGATTACACTTTGGACAATCAAGCAGCAAGTGGTAAGTGGTAAAGAAAAAAAAAACAGTGCACTATAACTTTGTTATGTTTCTCTCACTATGTGCATGCACACACAGTTATCAGACTTTGATTTTTAATCATGCTACAGTTAAAAATTAGCAAGAAAATCATTCAGGAAACCAATTTTATCAGCTTAAGCATGGCAAAGTGTTTTGCATGTTTCTAAAAACTGCCGTGAACTTGTGCTGTCTTGGTGGGCATAAGCTGCAAGTTAACAGCACTGCTACATTACAGCTCCTCAGCACAGGGGCAGCAATCAGACACTGACGCAGTCTCAGACACTGCACACGTGAGACTCGAGTAATTGCTGAGACTGCTATTCCTCTTGTACTAAGATCTGTACTTACTGCTAGGGCTCGTTTGTTTTTGTGTGCTGTATCTGTTAAGAATCAGATTGATGAAAGTCACCTCCGTACTGCCCTTATGCGAGGCTGCTAGAACAAACATAACTGAGTTGTGTACCTGCTGCACAGCAATTCAAACCAGGTGAATGGGTGCCACAGACAACCACTTATCTTTGAAGACCAAGGTATCAGAGCTGCTAGAAATGTTGCAAGAAGAGCACAAACTCAACAGCAAGCATGCCCAAATGCCTTCGTGCAGACAGATTTTGCTATATAGAAAGGAAAAGATTGGTGCAGTTAGATGCAATAACCAGGAACAAGGCCCCTTTCTCTCCACCTTTTGCTCACTGATGCTGCATTAGAAACTGAGAAAAGGAGAAGGGATCTTCCAGTGACTGTCAACAGGCATTCTGACACACAACAAGAAGACCAAGCAGATTAATATTTCATCTGAGCTCATTACAATACCTGCTTCCTCTACAGACTTCTGTATTGCTTCTGCTAGTTCCTGGTCTGCAATCTCCTCTGGCCGCACATCTTCTCGCCCAGCCCCGTAAGCCAGCCTGGCACACTCTGGGAGCTCACCCTCTGGGAGGAAAGTGGTCTGTGAGCCAGTCGTGCCAATCACCAGCACATTCTTCTTGAGATCAATGGAACACTGCGAAAGAGACACTGAGACATCAGGGGCTTGCATAGAGCACATCAGTTCCCAGAAGAAGAGACAAGGCTGAACAAGCCATTTCCAATGGCAGCGGCTCATAGCATTATGCAAAATGGACAGAAAGCATCAGCTGTAAGCAGAGGCCTCCACTTGACTTGTTTTGTATTTAATCATTCAGTTGAAAAGCTCGAGTGTCTTTGATCTGAGCAAAAAAGTTCAGGGAGCAGCCAGACACCCTATACATACACCTGTGATGCACATCGCATAAATACTCCTTTCATGACTGGTTGAAAAATAATCCACTATTTTCTCTTCCCATAAAATCCTACACCATTCCCAGGTATGGTGCTTACACTGTGCTTAGTGCCTTAGGATTGAAAAACTGAATAACTATTTCATAACTGGTTTGGCTACCTGATGCCTCTTAAGCATATCCAGTCCGAGAAGCATGTCCATGGGCTGCTCTTCGAGGATGGAGAAAGAGCACGCCAGGAAATCCCCTTCGATCTGAACCTGAGCTGGAACACAAGGGAGAAGAGTTATCACCTTGCAAGCTACAGTGCAACACATTATGTTCTGCTATTTAATCCCCTAGGAAAGGCTTGCACAATCACACTGGGGAGAGCTGATATCAGGACTCTGATATACAGCCTTGATCAAAAGCCCAGCTGTGAGCAAACACAGGGATGATCAGGCCTACATTGGTCTTGGGTAGTGAATTATCATCAAAGCTGTTCTGGCCTTAGAGCCTTAAGTACTGCTCATCTAAGCTTCCAAGCCAGAGCTAGAGGAGCTACATACAGTTCATTAGAGCACAAGCCTAAGAAGCAAGAACAGCAAAAAGAATCACCTTTTTCATACAATAGGGACAACCTTCTCTCATCTAGAAAACCTGCACACACATGCAGATTTCTCCTCCTGGAAGAGGATCAAATGCTCCACCAATTTAGAACTCTTCCTGTGCAACTCACACTGCCCAACAGTCACACCCCAGCAGGAAATTCCCTGCTGGGAATGAACCCAATCAACCCCACTTCTGCAGTTGGAGTGAACAGTTTCTCAACTGCAGGAGCTGCAGGTTCCCCCATCTGAAAGAATTACACGAGACAGAAGGCTCAAGTCAGAAGTGTTGCTAAAGCTAAGAATGGCAGTACTTACCTAAGTGCACTCTGCCAATTATCTTCTGAGTGCCTACACCTTTAGCAATGCCAGCCCACCGCCGATCCACCAGCCTCATTATGTTGCACCTTTCAGCACAAGCTTGGCTCATAATGGTCATCTGGGCACCTAACAGCAACAGAATTTGTGTGAAGTCTTGACAGGGCATCACAAATTAAAATACTCTCCTGGAAGGGCTTAAGATCTTGGACTCGGTAGCAGGGAAACCACATCACCTGCATGAGGCAACATGTCACTGCATAAAAGGCTTTTGTTTTTTTTTTAATGAAACCCACAGCTTTGAATTTACGATGTATACACTCACAGATGAGCGTGGGCAGTAAGGTACATACTGCTGCAGAGCTGAGTACTTTAACGTGGTGGATGGGAGGTACAGCACTAAGGCTGGCAAAGTTCCCCTCTCTGTAAACTGAGATAAGGCACACGCCCAGCAGTGACCATTTTGGCATTGCAGCCATGAGGCACCAGAGATCCTCACAGGAGCCTTGACCTGAGGTGTTCAGCCACTCATTTGTGCTGCTCCACAAACAGTCTCCACAACTGGCAGTTTGCCTTGAAGCCCAGATTGTTCTGAGATTTTAATTAGGTGCTTTAAAATCTTGTAAAACAGTGCTTTATAACAAACAGAAATATTTCAGGCAAAAATTTTGAGTGTTTATTCTCTCCCTCAATGAGGGAAATGAGAATGGAGAAAGAGATGAAAGCAGGAGTAATTCACCTGAGTCAACAAAAGCTTTCACTGGATGTCCATTGACTTTACAGTTAATATAAAGCATCACCACCTGGCCAAAGCTCTCGGGTGCCTCTTCCATTGCTATCGTCATATTTTCTTCAATATTTTGTTGCCTAAATTGAACAGAGAAAAAAGAGAAAAAAAATCAGACCTCTCTCATTAGCAAACCCTTCTGAGCATCCCTCTGATTTACAGACCTGACAATCCCACCTGCTGCAGTTTGCATTAACTACAAACATCATTTCTAAACCACAACAAACACTGCTTAGCTAAACACAGCCTTCTCAGCAGAGGGATTGCTAGTAATGATCTTGGCTTAATTCACACATACCAAGCCACTTCCCTTGCAGCCAGGAGGACTGCTCTTCCCCACACCTTGCACAGCTCACACTGCAGCACACCTGCACGTGATGACCTGTCTGCAAGAAACCCATCATCACAGAGCTGACATGGAGAACTTGTAAGCAAACACCAGCAAGTTTATCAGTCACTCTGAAGGAAACAGGGCATGTGATGAAGATGCTGCCAGTAGCTACAACACTGGGATCCCACAGCGCAGCTCAACATTAAAATCCTCCAGCATTTCCCTGGATTTTGCCTCTCTCAGGCAAAGGAAAGGAGGCTTATAACTGAAACTGCAGTGAGAACACTGCCACGAGCACGTGCCTCGCTGCAAATTCAAGCCTACAGAAAAAAACACTGAGAATCTCATCGTGGCCCTGACAGCAACCTTGAAAGCAACAGGTATCCACACTGACTACATCTTAAACAGCTTTATCTAAGAAAGGACATGGGCTTCCCATTTTAATGCCATTTCACGTTTCCTCCTCAGACAGCAAAGATAAAACCAAGCTCCTCTCATGCATTTTCTGTAGCCTTCCCACAGCAGGACGGGTAGATGTGTTTTTTTTGGTGTGGGAGGAAAACAGCTAAGAGCAACTAACAGTGACCTGGCTCACGTGGAAGCTAAAGCCCCCTGCTACCCTGCTGCTAGTGGCCTGCGAAACAAAGAGCTTCACGTTATGTTGTCTTTTGCTATTCCATTTAAATCAGATATAGTGCAGCTGATTTGCAGGTTCAGTTTTCTTGCTGAATCCATTATTCTGTTTTCTCCGTTCCTGATGTCCCACTGAAGGACAGATGTGTCTCAAGAAACTGTGGATGCCTGCAGGAACTCCCAATCAATCTCAGGCAGAGGACAGCTGATTAAGCAAGAATTCCAGTAACCTGAGATACTAAACAGGTTGTGAAACCTGGGGACTGCTAGATGCCCAAGTGTTACCCAATAGCTGCACAACCTTGGACATATTCCCTTTATCTGCCCCAATTTTCCCTCATGTACTGAGCAAGGAAAGTGTTCCTTTGCCTCCAAGCAATGATTTACCAACAAATTCACGCATTGTATTTTTCAGCACTGCTATGCTAAGCCATTATCCAGTACCAACACCTTGTCAGTCATAATGCAAGAATGACTCTTCACAAATTAACTTTTGCTATTATCAACAGTAAGCCCATGTCAGAAGGACATTTCCTTAACAAGGACTAAACTGCAAGTCACATTCCAGCTCAAGGATTCATCATTCCATTTAAGAAATCATGCCTCACCCCCATGCAATTACACGTGGAAGACAGACAGAGGCAGCAAGGGCTCACGAGCAGAACATGTTTCTATAGACCTCTTCTGATAGCAGTGAGGTGCAGAGTCCGGCGTGGGAGGAGACACACCACTGCTGTGCAGAGAGCTCAGGTCGAAGACCAGCACAGGTCCTCAGGTTCAAGACACAACCAAGGCACATAAGTACCACCTCTGAAGGATGCAGCTATTCAGCAAAAAGCTGAATATGCTCACTGCTTTCCACAACTCTACGGGTTTCAGAGAGGCCCAACTTAGGCAGTTTTGAGACCTCACACACACAGCAGTGCTGCTGCTTCATCTGTGCACAACCACACGTCCCCAGTTCTCAATCCTACCACTTGCTAAGGTGGCTCAAAGCATAACCCCAAAGGCAGATTTCTCTATTAAGGCAGGATCTGCTTTCTGAACACACTCCTTGTAGCCTCCAAGTTGGAGGGAAGCACCATCCAGAAAAAAAAACACCATGAAGATCTCCAAAGCCCGCTAGTGACTTTGGTTTGCTACCTTATGTCTTCTTCTATCTTGGCCTGTGCCTCAAGATCAAAAGGGTCAGCTGAATACAGTCGGATCCTCTCTTGTTCCCGTCGGGCTCGGTCCTGCTGTTGCTCCAGCAGTACCCTGGTAAATTTATCTGCAGTAATAAAGACATACAGGAATGCTTTTTACTGGTAATTACTCTTACAAATCATATTCTGCCACAGCAAACACTTATTTTTGTGTCAACGTGCAATCAAAGATAGAATCAGCTGCACAAGCACAAGAGGCTTTATCTGAAGGCAGCATGGATGGACCCCAAATGTTGGTGCCAAATCTGGGAATCTGCTGAGACGAAAAAGAACTGCACAGAGCCAGTCCTCCTTGTTCTGCTACCCAAACACTGCAGTGCCAGTAGGGCACAAACAAACTCAATTCTCTTGTGCTCAATCTTCTGTAGGGAAAAAAAAAAAAATAAAGAAAAAAAAAAGGGCAGTGGGGGCAGGGGGAAAAAAAGAGACAGTATTTAAAAGTAAGAGCTGCTATTTGAAACAGCAACTCATTGTTCTTTCGCAGGAAGGGTTGCCTACAAACTACTCCAAAAATCTGGAAAAAAACACCTGCAACAGATATCAGGAATACAGAACTCTCCCTCAAGCTTCTTCTTTGAATTGTGCATGTGTATTTTGAAGAATTCCCAACAGACAGAGAAGTGAGATTTCACTGCTCTGAACAAGACAGCCCATCTACAAGAACAGCTTGCAAAATCTACCACGTTTTCCACTCAGCAATCTGCTGAAAAATAAGTTTGTAAATTCAGCAAAGAGCAAACTCAAGATCCAAAGGCATAAAAAGGAACAGAACTTACTTTTAAGCCCAAGCAACAGAGTTATTATTATCTCTAAAGGTGAATGCCTACTCTGCAGTCAAGAGGTGCGAGGAGAGGCACTTGCTTAAGGAGGTTTAGCTGCATGTTTTTCAGATCTCCATTTTTCAGATGGCTTCTGACTATTCTTTACTGTTTAGATCAGATCAAGTATATGTCAAAGAGACCTGGTAATAAATTAAGTTCTGTAAACACAGAAGGTTGTGGTTTTGCTTCAAGAAATGCAATTCCCATCAAAAAACTTGCTGGCTCAGAGACAATTACGTGCTCAGGAAAGCATTTGGTGGCTGTTCTGGTGTTTTTTTATCTAATTAGTTTCCACAGAGCACGTGCTTTCTGATGTGCCCACAATGCACCCAGCACAGCCACATGGTACACATCTGTTCATACATTTGGACATCAGAATTAGAACAGAAACACTCATAGCAGCAGTACAAAACAATGAGAGTACAACCAGATAAAAGCACTTCCCTCTGGCATCCCACTGCAGCGATTTGGAACTAAAGACGCACACCTGAGGTAAAGCCTTATGTGCACCACAGACAAAACAGGTCAGCAGGTGAGCCAGATGTGGGTGTCCTGGCTTGACATTGCATCTCATGCCAGCTGCAGCACATTCTTCTCCGGCTGATGAGAAAACTGCTCTGTACTACAGATGCAACACTCAAAGGAGGCATAAAAAAACATCAGAAAACAACACAACTAACAGGGATATGAGCAGAAGTCCGAAGTAAACAATGCAGTAGTCATCAACATCCACGTGAGCTCCCCTCTTTAACAGATAAATCACTAGCATGTAACCTTGAAAGGGAACAAGTCTGCTACATGGTTCTTCTCTTCAATCATTTCCCAAAGCTCAACCAGATTTATTTCCTATCTAAAGACTTGCAGAGGCTTAGAAGGACTTTATTCAATGCCCAAAACACCATTCTTTGTACTTAAAAGGGGACTAGAGATCAAAACTTTAATCAGACAAAGAATAAGACAATAAAATCAGCTGCAGAGAAAATGAGGGATGCTGTACTACAATTCATCTATGCTATGTAAAGTGCCCACTGCAAAACTACACTTCCAAGATTAAGAGAGATGTAAACATTTACGACTATTCCTAATGGGAACGCTCCCTAAAGACACCATCTACTGGTTCCTTTTTCACTCTCTCTTTGATGTCTGCTTCTTCAGCAGCTAACCACTATAAGGAGAGATGGTCTCAGAGCACACTGCTCTCAGCTGAGCTCTCGCTGACCTCTGCAGTGCTGCAAACACAGCACAGCAGTGGAAGCAGTGCATTCAGAGACTCAGCATAAAAAAAAAATCAGGAGTTGAGCCACCTGCACTCACAGAAACTCAGCTAATCCATGCATGTACTTCAAAGCAGGGGAAACAGGCAGTTCAAAAACCCAACCTGGAGAAACACACCCAAACTGCTAGAAAGAGAGGAACTCTGCCACCAGCGCTTCCAACCAGCGCCTTGCATGAACACCATCAATAAGCCAGCAGCGAGGACCCCAGGCAGCTGGGGTATGGTAACTGGCATTGGAACTGGGCGCAGACAGATTCTGCAGCGAAAAACCCGACCTACCGAGGTCTCCACTGAGCAGCGCCTCTGCCAAGGGCGGATTGCGCTCCTTCAGCAGGGACAGCTCGTGGGGATTGGCCAGCAGCATCTCCCGTAGCAATGCTGGGTTTTCCAAACCCTGAGGGAATGAAGGCGCATCGGGAGGCGACGGGCGAAGGCGCTGTGCTGGTGGCTGACGCTGCTGAGCCGACGTCCCAGGAACCGCAATGCTGCTGAAGTCGATCCTCGGCAGGGCTGGAGGGAAAAGAGAGCAAACACATCAGCACTTCTTATTTGCAGTTCTGCTCAAAAAAGTAAGTACAATAACTATGGGAAGGATAGGTCGGTCTTAACGCTAGGCTCTTAGACCAGGTCCTTTTAACAGCAGTTTGCAACAGGTGCTGTATGGGAACTGTTGAATCACGGCCTGAACCTCTGATTGATCTGAGGCAAACAGAGTCAGCCATGGGAGCACAGGTGAAGGCAATTCAGCTGTGTGACCAGAAGCGGTAGAGCCTGGCTGCACCTCTCCTGGACCCCATGTCAGGGCTGTCTGCCACTGAGGAAGGATCTCTTCCTGGACATAACTCCCTGCGGAGTTCTTCTGTGAGCCTAGGACGTGGTGAGCATTTGCATTTGTTTTTGATTATCCCTCTCCACCATGATAATGTTTCTAGCTATAGCATCTGTAGATACCAACCTAACCACACCACTCTGTAGAGGTGCTGAGTACACAGGCACGCTGCCACACAGCCAGATTACTGGGTGAGGGAAGCTGGCATTTCCTCATGTAACTGGCCTGCTCTGCGTCCCCAGAAATGCACTTTTTGAATCACACACTAGTTATTTCCAGCTTCACAAATGTGAACAGCACAGAAGGAACACGAGGCTAAACCCAGTGCCTAAGGCACTTCTCAATCTCTCTGACTGGAAATTAAAAAAAAAAAAAAAAAAAGAAAGAAAGAAAAACTCAAGCAAAAGAAAAAAAAAAAAAAAGCAACACTTCTGCAGGTGCATTGCAGGAGGAGCAGCAGCAACAGCAGGAGGACAAGAACTTCACCCAAGACCTCCTCAGGCAGCAATCCTTTCAAGAAGTGGACTTGATAGGAATCGGTGCAGAAGGCAGGAGAGAGGTAAGACCAGGAGCACACTCACAGTATTCAAGGAGTCTCTTGCTTGTGTGCATGACTGTGTACCTGCATTTGTTAAGATGCAGTTTCTCTGTGTATCTGTCCGAATACAGATGGGAGCATGTACTGCAAGAGCCCCTTAATGCACCTGAGCCACCCTGAGCACACATTCCTGCACCACTGCACAGAACAGGAAAGGAGCAGCCATATATGAACAGTCACACACCTCTACACAAACGGCCGTTCTGAGCAAGCTACATGGACTTCTGAACTTTCCCCAGAATGGTGAAACATTCTTTGCTTTCTTAGAACCACCAAATGATGAGTCCTTCAGCTGATTCTGGAGGTCCCTCCGCCACAGCTTACCCTTCCTCTGCAGTTTTGCCTAGCAAGGTGTTAGAGACTAATGAGACAACAGCAAAGCCTTCAGATGCTCAGAGCAAATGCATCACTTCTCACCTGGGAAACGGATCGAGGGCCGTGGCTCTACGGTCTCTTTCTGTCGTAAAATCACCACGTCTCCATCTTTCAAGCCATAGGAGGCCAGGGATCTGTTGTTGTCAGTGAGAGGCCTCTCCGCATAGACAATCTGCTCACGGGGAGAACACAAGGAGAAAACAACAAGTGTGACCAAGCAGATCAGGATCTGACTTACTTTCTTTTTAGAAACATGTTTCAGCCACTCCTGTGGGCCCACCTCAAGCCTCAGAACAGGCGTGCAGCCCTGAGCACAGGCACAGACAAGCCCTGCCCAAGCACCTGGACCTCAGGCACAGGCAGACCTCAACACGAAGCGGTTGGGCAGGTACCCAGCATCTCTCCTATCCAAAGCCAGCAACCACTTCTCAAAGCTCAGCATCTCAGAGAAAGGCTCATCTCTTAATTAGAGGCCAAGATCTTTGAAGGAAAGAACAGCTTACACCAGACCTGTTTGCCACACATTTCCAAAGTCACATCTCTGTTATTACCCAGGTCGTGACTGCTTCCCATAGCGTTACCTTCACCCAGCTCTGCATTTGCTAACCAAAGACTCAGCTGTATACATGCAGGCAGCATCCATCAGGACAGATAGTGTATTGAATCATCTACAGAGCAACGATTTCTTCCATTACCCAGAACACAGCTCCCCACAACAACTGCTTTTCAGAGAGACTTCTGTGATTATCTCAGCCATTTTTGCTTTACTTCAGCGATGTAAGTCCACTCAGACCCAAACCATCAGCCTCCAAACATCACTGCAACCAGTGGCAGGAATCAAGGAATCAATTTCTTCTGACTATAATACATAAAGTCACACCCTTTTCTATTATGATTTTCTAATCTAACTCAACAAATATAAAAACATACTGAGATAAAAAATGAATAACCATCGTTATGGAAACATAAAGATTTCTACTCGTTACGTAGGAACATTTCTACTAACACTAGATCCGTAATACCTACAGATGTCCTAAATTATGTCCATGCTTTCCTTGAGATTTCAACAGGCAATTACTGCAGATGTGCACCGTCACAAGACTTGCCTGTGACCAGAATGACATTCTGGGCTTCTGATTCCACAAAACCTCTGCCATTCTCCTTAAAAGAACAGGAGTTCTGTTGAAGATGTGTCTTTGGCATCCCAGTAACCGTATCTGTTAAGCATTACGGCTTCTGTGCCAGAATTATCAGAACAGGAAAAACACACACCATTAGCAACAAAGATGAGGTTTCTACCCTCTCAGTAACTACAGCATCAACGGTACTGCACTCAACTGGCTTGTGAGTCCCCTTCAAAGTGAACACAGACCCACCTGCAAACTACACTAAGGCATGCAGACGCGTTACTGGCGTTATTAAGGTTGGCTCGTGATGGGCACATACTCTCACATGACCACACATACACACACGGCCTGACTCTGAGCACTGCTGTCTGTGGAGAAAGCAAGCTTGCAGCAAATCCCAGCTGCACGCACAAATCTTAAATGACAGTTTCTCTGTGCAGACGCTCTAAGAGACATGAGCTAATCAGTTTAGGTGAGGTTTTACCCCTGTCGTCTTGCTAGGATTGGATTTGCAAACATTCAGCCTTAACACCTCAGACAGTGCATTAAGTGCTCAGCACTCGCTCCACATCCATCAGCAGCAAGGCTTAAAGCACATTTGACCCATTCCGCTTTGCTGCTAAGACGAACTGATTTCATTTCTCATTTCAGTCCAATTATGCAGTTAGCAGCATTCAGAGCTGTATGCCAGCCAGGCAGCCACAGCACGAGCTCATCCAGAGGTAACCCAGGCAGGAAGCAGGCAGCCACACCACATAGTGTGGATTCTCCACAGTGGCACCGGGGAGAACATCTTCATGAAGCAAGAAAGCCCAGTCATGAAATCAGTTGTCAGCAAAATAAAGCTCATACACCAGGAACATTCCTCTCTCAAAGAAGCCCACAGTGCTACAAATTGACCCAACGTACACATAGAGGGAGGAAGGATATACCACCACTGCCAGAACAACACAGAAAAGTCAGTTTTAACTCCAGGTTCCCTCTTCTTCTCCACAAAAGGCATCTGCTCGATGCGAGAGAGAAAACAGCGAGCCAAATTTCTTGCCCTCTGCTCTTCCTGCTACACCTCCCCTTATCAGCACAACCCAGCTGCAGCTCACACACTATCTTGTGCCACCCTCCAGTCCTCTACTCCTCAAAGCCATGGGCTTCAGCAGTCACCTCCACCCCAAACTACAGTGCCCGGAATGAATTTCACCAAATGATAAAGACTCAGACTCACTCTGTGGTTTACAGACCCTGCACGGTCCTCGCTACTAAAAGCATCTTCTTTTTTTTGCCAGGAAGCAGTAAGTGTTACCGTAAGGCAATGAGTGTTATGTGCAGTAAAACCAAATGTGATGGGTGCAACACAAGGACCCACACTGTCCCCTGGTTTTGGAGGTAGTTTAGGCATGCAAAATCTTTTGACAGAACTGCTTTGCTGATAATTTATGTTTTGTAGCCTTCTTTCTACTGAAGATCCAAAGAAGACTGCACAAACACAGACAGAAAGAGCAGGGGAAGGAACAATAAATTCACACTTGGAAAAAAATTTTTAAAAGGAAACAGAATAATGTATAAACAGACAGGTGAACAGAAAGCAAGCAGAAGCACTCCTGAAAAGCAGAGTTGACCCATGTTACCTGTAGTCCCTGTAATCACAAAGCTGCGGCAGTTTAATTGCAGCAGAGCAAAGATGCAAAGGGAACTCCCAGCAAAAGCATGCACAGAAGTACGTGAGCCCTTGCTATCCTGAAATAGATGCAAAGCTGACAGGTCACCGTGACGCAAGAGGGGCAGCTTTGCAAACAAGGTCACTGAGCTACCAAGCGCTCACAGCTTCCGGAGGGCAGAGAACGTCCCTGTCACATAGCAGGGGCTGGCCCTGTCACCTGCTGTAGGAGTCATCAGAGATGCTGGTGCCTCATCGGCTGTAACACAGCATTGCAAGCAAGCCCAGAAGGCAGGAGCCCTATATACACTGCTGTGGCTCCCTTTCCACTTCTCATAGACAAAGAGCTTTTTTCCTAATGCAAGATCCACATAATCTTGATTTTCTACTGCTCTGGAAAACAAGTTAGGCAATGGTTTCATTCTTGTGTTAAAGGTTACATCAACACCATCCCCTTACACTTTCTCAGGAGCGTCTCCCAACTCAAACCACTGTCTACAGCTGCTCCAGTGTTGAGCACAGGTTCTACTGCACAATAATCCCCACACACCGGCATGTCAATCTCAGAACCAGAGAGCATTGTGCCTTTCATCACTAAGCAGCAAAATCAGAGCTTCACGAGGGCAGAGGAAAGCAGTCTGAAGCCAGGTGAGGCACTGAGAACCTGCTCAGCAGGGCACGCAGCTTTCCTGTCTCACAGTCCTCCGTCGCTGACTAATATCCACTTGACTGGAAAAACGCCTTCTTAATGTAGAGTGGGAAATGGCTCACAAAGCAAAAACTTCAGGAAACAAAACTTCACAAACTTTGCCAAGCACGCCGAGATAAAGCGACAGAGCTGACACTGCCTTGTCCAGCGGCACAACGCCTGCGAGCAAACTGTGACAAAAGGCAGAGAGCAGACTGAGAAACTCCCTCCGGGGTCCCCCCAGCACGCCGCAGCCCGGCTCCGGGCAGCTCTGTGAGCCCAGCACCGGGCGCGATGCGGTTCCCCGCGTGTGGGAGCAGCGCCGTGTCCACAGCCGCCTCCACAGCTCCCAGAAAACGGGGGAAAGCCTCAAAACGTTCTCTGGAGAGAGGGGAAGGAGGCGAGGAGCCCGCAGCCGGCCCTGCCTTCCTCACTCCCGGGATCCGAGGCCCCGAAGGACGCGCTCCTCCCCGCGGAACCGCCGCCCTCCAGAGGCAGGACGGGCCTCGGGCGGACGCCGCGCACCCCCGAGAGAGGGCGGCGCGAGGGAAGCGGGCCCCGACCTGACTCTCGGCTGCCGGGATGCCGGACTCGAGTTCGCAGAGGGCGCGGAAGTTCTGCAGCTCGAAATCGGCGTCCACCTGCAGGGAGAAGGTGAGCTCGCTGCGGTCGCGGCGCAGGCAGAACACGGTGAGAAGCATGGCCGCCCGCCGCCACAACCGCCGCCCGCCGCAAAGCGCCGCCGTCGCAACGCGCCCGCCGCAAAGCGTCGCCGTCGCGAAACGTCCCGCCCCCACCGCCGAGCGGAGCCGCGCCCGGCGGCACCCCGCCCATCCGCTTCGTTGTGGGCGCTGCGCTGCTCTCGGGAGGTTTCCCTGAGCGCTCCCGTTTGCTTGTGAGGCATTCGGGGGATGCTCAGAGCCCATCGGAGCGCCGTTTGGTGCAGCCTTCAGTGCGGCGTACGTGGGACACCCCGCACTACTCTTCTGTGCCCGTCTGTCAGCCCAGCTCCTTTGGGGCTCCAAGGACACCACTTTGAAAGACCCAGAGCGTCCCGGGTTGGTTTCTGGGATATCCTCCTCTTATCCATGTGCATTTAAGGTGTCCCAGAACACTCCAGATGTATTTTAGCAGCTCCTACAGCCCATGGGGTCAAGAATCAGCTTGCACAGCTGCAATCCTGGTGCTTTTTCAGGTGCTGCACGCTCCTCTGGCTGCCTTTTGAGGCATTCAAGAGCACAGCATAGGGTCAGCATTCAGGAAAAACGTACTTAAGGGCTGCCTGATCCTGGGGGGTGCTTTGGGAACATGGGAAGACACAAAGGCCCTGAATAGCTCAAGGCATCTGCCACTGTAACAGCTGAAGGAAAGGTGGGCAAGAGGTGAAATTTCACAACCAGAAAACACCAGGTCAGCCACAGCCACAAAACACATCAAAGGCACAGTACTGCTCACAAAGCAGTTTGTTTAGCCCTTAAGCCTAAATTCCATGGAGCCATGGGGAAAGAGCCCAAGCTCCAGGATGCAGCTAGGCAACAACAGGCATTCCCCCAGCACAATTTGATTTGCATTCCCCAGGTTTCTGTAGCTTACCAAGTTCAAACCTGCTCACACCTCCCAGAGGGCTGCAGGGCCAGCCACAAAGGCTGACAGTCTATTGCTGCCAGGTCAAGTTGTTTCTCCAACCCCCAGAGTGTGAAATGTCAGTGTTAATTTCCTTGAGAGATGCACGGGAAGGCAAAGCTATTGCAGAGGAGTGTGCATGTGTCTGGGCACGAGGGCTGTGTGTTGCAAAGGGCTGCTAACCTCAAGGGGTGGTGGTGAAATCTTCACCTGCCCTGCACATGCACCACTCCAGGAGCAGAGTTGAGTCATGGAAAAACACCAGCCCCAAAAGCAAAGCAGTGGATGGAGTGATGGGCTCTGTGTGGTACGCCTCTCCCCACGGCACTCATTTTCCATACAGAAAGCATTCCCTTCTGATCCCCCCTATTGCTCCTCACCACACAGACGGGCCTCCAGCCAGAGCACCACAATAATCAGCTTGCTTCAATGCACAGTGAGAGGACTAAGACTTTATTTCAACAATGGAATTAATCTCAAACCAAAATAATTCCAACCAAGGGGCCAGGTAAACAAAACAGCAGCACTGAGCTAATCCAGGAATGACACATTTCCACATTTGCAAACATTCTGACTACAGATTCCCCGCAAATATCTGGTTCATTTTCTCTATTATTAGTCAACCCATGTGATAAAAAAAAAAAAAAAAAAAAAAGATCAGACCAGGGCTGCACCTACCAGTCCTCAGTTACAGTAAGGCCCCTGAGAGCTGCCCATCTGTGCATGGCAACAGGGAAAAGGCTCTTCCTCCCATAGGGAGCTCAGTCGGATTTCTCCTTCTCTTTCATGTGCAGGAAGACAATGCTGAACATGAAGAGGCCCACCATCATGGAAAAGGCTCCGGCATAGTATGGGAACGCCGAGGGGATGAAACGTTCGTACTGCGTGTGCTGGAGGGGACGCACAGACACCTAAGGAAGAAGCAGGCATTCTTTCTGAGTTTGGTGGTACACAAGGACAGATACAGTGTCCTGCATCCAGCTGACTCCCTCCAATCCCCAGAACCTGTTACATTATTGAAAAGGCAAGCGAACGATTCATTTCCAGGATGAAACCACATCCTCAGCCAAAACAGAAAACCATTCTCAGTGTCCCATGTACTTCCACAGCTCCAACCACATGCACAGATCAAGCCACTGTAACAGTAAGATTATTTCTATGTGGGCATTCACTGTAAATGTGCAACACCAGCTCAAGGAAGAAGAAACCACTACCAGTTTTTTGTGGAGCTCATTTCCAAATCTCAAAAAGCAAATCAAAAGATAAGAAAAAAATCAGAAGTACTGAAATTCATTGTATGTTCAGATAAAACACAACTTAGCAGTAATATAAAAAAACCCATTATTTTCTTACGTAATTAATTCCCGCCATTCCTCACCTGAGTAGAGGAGTACAGGTGAGTGTAACCCAGGCGATTATAGTCCACTTTAAACTGGAACACTCCATAGACATCTGGGAGCTTGAACTGCACGCTGTACTTGCCACCTATGGAAAAGATTGTGACAAAGCTGAGCTGACAGAAGCAATGGGAGAAGCTGCAAAAGCTTTCACAGGTCTTCCTGCTACAACGCCACCACACCAAGAGAGAAAGCATCCCACCACAAGGCATAAGAGGTGAGCGGGAGCCTACCATTTCTCTTCAAGAAAGTTCTCACAAATGGATCAATGCGGACGAACTCCAGCTGGATATCATCTCCATCAAAGGGGATCCACTTTCCGTTGGAAAGCTTTTCGATGACAATGCTGTATTCCTGGAACAAACCCACAACACATCAACAGGGTGCAGCAGGGATGGCTAAAAACAAAGCTCAAGCCCAGCATATGACTACAGCAGCTCAAAGAGACTAAGGAATTCTCCCAGTAAGTTAAGTTCCCCCTCTGGTAAACACATTCTGGTATCAGTAATCAAAGCAGCTCTCAGAAGTCAAAGAATAAGTATGTATGAATACTTATGTATGAAAAGTATGTATGAGTATGAAAATGGATCCAGCTGTACTTTTCAGCTCCATGTCGCCTCCTGCCCACACAACAGAAGAGCACATTCCAAGCAAGCCCCCCCCAAGTGGAGCCTCACCACCAGATCGGTGACGGTGTAAGCATTAGGAGGTGCCAGCTCCCCCACACGGTGGTGAGACACGGCCCCAACGCGCAGCACGCCTTCTTCCTTGAACACCCAACGAGACAAGGCAACAGCCAGCTCGTAATTACCGGTCTGTGAATACCTGGAGACGAGGGAAGACAAAGAAAACATGAAAATCACTCTGAGAAAAAAAAAAAACCTACATGCCAAAAGCAAAACCAGGACAAGAAAAAGCTATCCTGAGTTTAAGAGAATTTCTTTCCAAAGCACTTCAAGGCCAAAGGAACCCATCACACACTATTTGCATTCAAGCTTCTTGCTGTTTCAAACAGCATGAACATTTGTGGCCTATTTCCTTGATCACACAGCCCCCCAGGTACGCCTCACGAAGGGATGCCAGGAGGCTGGTGTACCGTTTGGAGCCAGGAGTAGCTTTCTGCACAGCAGAATTAAAGAAAGCATCGCTGAAGAAATCCAGAGAGCCACTGAAAACAACGCGAGCGTTGTTCCTTGCTTGGAGCCCTGCGATCAGAAGGGTGTTCTTCCCAACTGCATGTGGATACTGAAAAGAAGCACATTTGAAAGAGCATTTAGTCAACTTAAAGGTAATTAAAGAAGAGTTCAGTCTCCAAGTTATTTGATTTCATTACTGCCACAAGTTTGCCTTAAGATGGAGAAGTCTGACCACATATAGCACACTTAGCAGTTCAACAGAAGCCAAGCACCTCAGCTAACTACTCAAAACAACCAGGAATGGAATTTACAATGTTTTGCATCTACACTCTCCTTGGGATGAAGTTGCTTAAAGGCAGTTTACTTTGAAAAAAAGTATCAACCTATATCAAAGTATCACTCACACTGGACATTTTCCCACCAACAAAAAGCAAGGAGGAAGATTCTTGAGGAGACATCTGAAAGCCTGACTTTCAAAATCAACCAAGAGTTTAACCATGTAAATATCCATTTCTCAAAGTTGCTGGAATCTAAGGGACTTGACTAAGGAAGAGAAAAAGGAATGTACCTGAGTTATGGGTTTATCTGGGAAGAAGGAGTATGAGGTAGAAGAGCCAGTCAGGATATCCAGCACCAGCGGGTTGTCAGGATCAGCCACCATCCTTGTGGGGAGAGGCACAAAGAGTGGCATCAATAACCAGAGGGAGCTGCAGGCACTGACTGAGCTGCACAAACCTCCTTATGCTTGCAAGTGGTTATAAAGCTGCAGAATTTGCACAGAATCACAGAATCACCCGGGTTGGAAGGGACCTCAAGGATCATGCAGTTCCAACCCCCCTGCCCAGCAGGGCCACCAAACACACACAGTCACATCAGGTTGCCCAGGACCCCGTCCAACCTGGCCTTGAACACGGCCAAGGACGGGGCATCCACAACCTCCCTGGGCAGCCCGTTCCAGGGCCTAACTACTCTCCTTGTAAAGAACTTCCCCCTAACATCCAACCTAAATCTTTCCTCCTTCAACTTGGATCCATTTCCCCTAGTCCTGCTATTGTCAG